ACCAATGGGATGAAACGCGCGTTCGGATTCCACTGATATCCAATATCCATCTTAGCTGCCAACAATTATAATAGTCATATGGTCACTAAGTTTTATTATTATCATTATTATTTGTCTTTTGGGTTCCTAGTCGAACATATGGCTTCAGTAGCACGTCTCCTTTGCACTCTCTTCTCTTCAATCTTCTTAACCTAGCTCCGCGACTGCCCACAAGCTTTCATTTCTCCCTCACACGATCTCCTCCATGTCACCCTCGCCTCGGACGCCTAACTCGCTTCCCATTTGGGTTCCACTTGAGTACCCGTCGCGCGATGTCCCCGAATGGTTTTCTCAATGTATCGTCAATCCAAACCATCTCCACTTTCTTCTGCATATTTGTTGGGCAATGGGTTCTTGGTTGTATCGCTGTCAGAGTTCCTTGTTGCTTATTTTAATTATTCTGGCCGTCTGATCTTCAGTGTCGAGTGAGCGTAGGCGGTGGTTGTTGATGTCATATATGTCTGTAGACTGTTGAAAATGCTTTTCGTAAAGCGACAAGTCTCCCAACCATCACATAGAAGCACTGACTTGACTGGCATTAGTGTTGAAAATCCGAATGTTGTTCACGATTTATGCTGAGTGTAGTGAAGTGCACGTCCACACTGATTTCAGGTTAATGAAGACCTGTTTTGCTTTTCTGATGCTGACTTTGTTTTTCTCATCTGTACCATCACCTGTAGTTGAAACAATGCTGCCCATGGAGGTAGGTGAAAGAGACGACTTCCTTTAGCTTTCTCCCGTTGATGGTGATTGTTGTTCGTCGTTGATGTTGTTGGCTGGGTATCTTCATCACCTCTGTCTTCTCTACCTTCACCTGAAGGAAGTCCTGTCTTCGCTGTCTGTTCTGTCAACTTGTTGCTTTTTGCCTGCAGATCTTCGAGTTTGTTCTACATATTAGACATAAATCATCATCGGCGAAGTCCAAATTTTCTAGGCTGTTTTCATCGGTCCATCCAGCGTTTGTCCATCTTCTGGCTCCTCACAGTTTGTTGCATGATCCAGTATACCACAATCAGGCAACTAAGTGATATATGTATATTTCCTTGCTCTTTACTGAATATATATGATGTGTCAAAACATGTTTTCACCAAATTTCGCATAATTTTTTCCCTCCCTATTTTTTGATGTCTTAAATATGGGTTATTATTTGTCATAATGATTAAGTTACTGCTTTAATTGAGAAAACGTGTACTGAAGATCATCACGGTATCCAGCCAATTCGTAATGGAACTTTACTGGAGAAGCTGATAAACTTTTTGTTAAATCAAACATAGGTGTATTTTTTATATATTTGTAGTTTTATCCTATTTCTATCATCCTTCCTTTCACCGGAAGCATTAGAAGTGTAAAACATTTGATTTTCATATATTATCTTAGGTGATAATGATAAAGATTTTTTTACGATTCTAGATTTACAAAGTCATATTTTGGAGCTGAGAGTAGAATCGTAGTTCAATACATAAAAATGCGGACACTGTTATATATCTTGACATGGAATGTTGCAAATACGGACAACTTAAATATATCTGCAGCACTCGCCAATTTTTCGAATTTAATCCAAAACTAGTGAGAAGTTAGTGTCAGCATGAAAAATGGAACTATGGTTGTAGCCATTCACATTACCGCATATCATATTTCTACTTGAAGGTAGAAGACAATAATAAGAAAGATAAATAAACTGAAGTCATATAACTAAACATCATATAGCACAATAAGACGAAAATAAAGCGAGTTTTGAAGCAAATAAAAACCTGCCGTATTACGTGGAGAATAAAGGCGGATTCATTCTGACTTAAGTCAACTTCGGTTGTTTCGTTGATTCCAAACTCATAGTTGTTCATGAATTATACAACGTGATTTAAAAGTTAGATGAGGACATAAAATCAAGAAACTTTTTAAGGAACTAATTAAACAAACTTTGTGATCCCAGATGCTTTGAGATGTTTTTCGGTGGCTTTATAAACTTGAGGGTAATATTTCCACTGTAAAACACATATGAACTTATGGGTATTTCTTTAATAATCGACTACTTGATAGTTTAGATGCCTTATTCTATGTAACACGGACATTTTAATCAAACCGAATTTTTAGGTGTATTCGTTCAGACGGTAAAGACTCGCTCCTATACGTTGGAATCGTGATCCCATAACTCATTATTTTTTGACGGCTATTATCTTGACAATTTTCTACCCAAAACATACATCAATTTGACTAACTGGATTGGTTTAATTATTAGTACAGTCAATATTACGCGCAAATGACATACAAATGATCATGAACAAATATTAACTTTAAAGATGAAAGGCTAACGAGATTGTTGTTCACTTTGTTTTCAGTGCATGAAGTGCAGATAAGTTGTAGAAATCTAAGAGTACACAAGCATATGATCATAGATTAGTGTATCTGTCTTCTCATTTTAGACTACAGACAGATGGCGTTATACAGAAGTAACCAAAAAGTATACAAATCCGATAACAGTCTGTGAATTTGCTCATGCTAATTATGATTTCAATTTTAACAATCAACTAAGGTAATATTGCATTTGAGTTAGATAAAGATTTCCTAGAAGATTCGAGAGAAAGATAATGAAAAAAGTTAATAAATTTCTCATCTTTACTACGCTATATTAAAAAAGCTTAGACGTTCAGTGTAAAATAGTTAGTTTTACGGACATGTTTTATCATAACATTAGGTAGGAAAATGTTGAACTACAGGTACCCATGTTTAGCTTTTCCTCTCCTGATCTGAAAATCTTCATCAATGAATATTTACTGCGGCATATACAAATGAAATGAAACACTAACACTAGGTTAATAAGCATTGATAATGGAGACGAAGGATCGAAATACACAATCTAGTTTAAAATAACTGACTATGGAGAGTGATATTATAGACTATTATCTTTTCAGTTCACCAAATGCTTATCGTGCACTTCAGGGAACACAAAAATTTATTGTTCATCATTATTGCGTTGACATATATATATATATATATATATATATATATATATATACTGTTTATCACCTATCATTTATAGTAATCTTGCGAAAAAATGTTTGTTTCCTGCATCCATGGTGTATGGAAGTCAAATAGTTTTACCAAAGTATAGTAACATCACACCACTGAAAAAAGTGGTACCTAGTAAACGAAATTGCTTTTACACTACTCAATATTAATTTAAGTAACACGAGACGTTTCAGTTTTATTTATTACTGACCTATTTCTTTCCACAGAATCACGTTTTTGAAACTCACTTTCCTATATCTGTTTCGTAGGTAATTTTTGTTTGTTCACATAGATTTATATTTCTTTACGTAGTTCAGTAAGATAAAAACCTTAAAATGAAGACTTCACCTATTCATAAGTAACTTGGTGAAACATTCAAAAAACAACCGAGGTGCAAGTATGCAAGATATTTGTGCGTAAACGTTTGTACTTGATACCCACAACAAGTTCACCGTTAATTATTTGGCTGTCTTACTGTTTATTTTCAACATTTTACTCATAATGAAGCTAAATGAAACCATCTTACTTGTAGGAAACCAACTTAGTACCTATATTACTAACTGATTCGTGTGGATCTATAACTGGTGAATTCAATATGTGTGAGGAAAGAGGCTAAATTCTTTTGAAGTATTATTCTAATCTCGTATACTGATTTGTGTTCATTAAACCACTGACCGTCTGGACTACATAAAGGTATGCATTATTCAATTATCGCCGTTATCACCTTTCAGTAAGATACTGAGAAGACAAACACTTTGAGATAATATCAGTTTGTAAATACACTACAAAAACACAGCAACGAAAATGACTGATACCAATACATTACTTGTCACTATTTCATGGTAATATGAGCTGAAACATGTGGGGATTAACTTAATTGGCCACTATGGCAGTTTCTGGGGTAAACAGTGCTGCTTCTTTATCTCGGCGTAGCTGTTCATAAAATAAAGCGACCTAATAGATCATCGTAACAGTCTCTAGAGTGACCTTTGAAGTCACGCATATACGAACTTTCATATCCTGAAAACAGTTGGAAGATGGTAGGTAAGTTTATTGTCACTGCAGTATATATACATATGAACATTCCTACTGCGAAATATTGTCTTTTAGATTCAAGACTTCATACTTCTTCGTTCAAGGTTTCCAAACAATGCAAAAACTAGAATCAGATCCAAATGATTTCCCCCTAGAACTGTGTCAAATTGCTGTTATTTTACGTTCACTTTAAATGTGTTTTTTGGTGTAAAAGGAATTCAAATAAGGTCGGAATGCCAACACAATATTTCTATAGTTCATCTCATTCCATATAAATAAGATAGCATTATTCATACCTCATGAATGTTTGGACCTTTTACTTCTGATGAATATTAGGTTGTGAAATTCCAACTAAACTAAGGTTCCGATGGACTGGCCGTAAAGAAAAGAGAATATACACATAACATCAAACCAATTCAAGGTGGCTCGCCGATATTTCTCATTGGTAGTGCCAAAAAAACATTGTGGATCATAAGGCAGTTGCATAGACTTTCGAAGCTCATAGATGACTCTATCTGTTATGAACCCAAACCATGAAGCTCTTCCCAATTCTGTCTGTAGAGTTTGCCAAAGATAAAAAACTCTATAGTTTTTGTCAAACTTTTCTTTTAAGAAACTCATTTGATGGTTTCCAAGGCAGTTAGAACCTGTTTATGAAAGCTTACTTTTCATGACTTGAAAGACAGTTTCAAACTTTTTCTGAAATTTTGTTGATATCATAATTTTTGAAATTGCCTGAAAGTTAATGAGACCTTAATATAAAGAATGGCATACATAGAACCGTTATCTATCACATACAGCTTCATTAAAATATGTTTCCCCACGCCATAGAAACATCCGTTCATTAGTTTCTTTCGCTAAAATAGTGATATGTTTAAGATATCTTACTTTTCTCTGTTTTCCCTTCTGTTTCTGTGTAGTGTCAAATACATGTTAAATCACATTCATACAACTAAGGAACAGTACTCTCAAAGTAGCCTTGAATATAATTTTGGTGATGATAAAAATAAATGTTTATGGGATGCATTTAATACAATTACTCCAAATCATGACAATATATTCAGACCGTCACATAATGATATTAATACATTCCATGTGGACGATGATATTGACTATGAAGAAAGAAAAGATGAAGTCAATGAGGGCTATAGAATGGATGCACACTTGAATACTAACAATAATTCGGATACACGGCAACAATGTCATCAACATCATCGTCATGTGAACAGACTAACACAAGACGATACTGCATATAGTGATATTCAAACTCCAAATAATATTTCCGATGAAAAGAGAATTATAAAAATTTATAGACAACTTCATAATTTACGCTGTCAAATTGAGGTATGTTTACCATCTCAATATATTTTCAAACTCCACTATTCTTTATCTGTTAGTCTGCGCAGAATAGACACATTTTACACGCATAATTAGTTGATGTAATTTTCCATTATATGAATTAATTATCTGACAGTACTTATAGGTTTATTACGTATTTATATTTGTCTGTTGTCTAAGCATCACCAGTATCTAATTTTCAAGTTTTCTGAATAGTTAATGCCGTCACAATTAGTAAATGTTATGTGATTTCAAACCGAGTAGGCAGATTGTATCTGTAACTCAGAATGCTGATCCCTATAAACAAGTTGACCTCTTAGTCACCACCAAAGCTGATCCCTAGGTTTCACCAGCCAAATGAGAGGGATATAAACACTGGATGGTCGTTTCGGTCGTTTGAGTACTGTATAGCTTCTACTACTCAAGTTGTTCAACAATATATTTCGTTAGTTCGTGATACTTTTATATCAAAATTCTGGCCTTGTGGGAGATTTCTAATGGATACTCTTTTGACAACATAGTTAAATAGCTGGAAAACTATTAAGCTGTGAGAAATATCAAGGTGGATCACGCAATTTGTAAATCACTTGAAAATTGACCACTCCATTTAAAGTTGTTCAGTATTTGAAAAAGCTTAGAACGTTGTTGTTCTGTATGAATTATCAGGAATGTTTGAACCCAGGTAGGTTTTATTAAATGCTTGAACAGCTACACACATCTTCACAAAACTTTATCCTGTCTGACTCTGATAACACAGAAATGAACTGAATAACAAAAAGTGAAAGATATTTATTATATCAACTTTTCGGGACCAATAAAAGTGGTGACAGTTTAACTGTCACACGTAGCTTATAAAATAAGTGTTTGTGAAACTTTATTGTTTACAACGTTTTACTCTGATATTATCTATCCAATCACTGATGAATGAAAAAGTTTATTAGGCAATTCAAAGTGCTTTCATGTCATGAAGATGAAAGACAGTTAAAATCAGTCCATAGCTGAGATTATGAATACTTTATACTTTACACTTGAAGTTTGAATATTTGTGTAAGAAAGTTCTCGAAATCAGTCTATGTGCAAGTATCACAACAATCTCTATCTTGTCTTGCTTTGTCATATTTAAGGCCTAAAGTTTAATTGAAAGATGGAATAGTACTTCAGAGAGGAGATTCTCTTCAGTGATTTAATTCCTGAAGCTGAATTGTCGCCAACATACATTATTTTGTGGTTACTTATGCACTTTTTAATGAATTAGTTGTTTTTCGAACATTCTGCTATAAGAAGAATTCAGAAGTATTTCTGTTTCTTCTTTCATGACGCTATGGGTACTTTGCATGCATTTGAGTTGGATTAAGAAGTCCCTTATAATTACTCTAGAAGATTTACAAGACATCGTAGGAATTAATTTGCACTTCATGGTGCAGGAACTCAGAGTATTTTCTCTTGTTCTATACATGCAGTTTACCTCCGCTTACTGTTTCTTTAGCTGAAACAATGTTTTCATAAGTTTAAAATAAATAGCCGGACAGTTGTGTATCACTGACTCACATGGTAGCCCAGCGAAACCCTTCATGACTGAAGTGAAACTAAAACCATCTCAGCAGTTGATGTGAATAACTCTGTCGACAGAGTTTTGAGCTGGTAACCTGAAGACTGCTTATCCAAAACCTGCCATAACCGAGTTTTATGTTTCATCTTCAATCACCGCCTGAAATCAAGAATACCAACGTTCCAAACCACAGATATCTCAGATTATCTTAATCATAACTGTAAAATGCTGTATTTTAGTCCACAGCCGCTAATGAGGAGTTAGTTGGAAATAGATATTTCTTGTTTGCGATTTGAAAGTAGTTTTCATCACGGATTGAAAACTGTTGGAATGCTGGAAACACTAGATAGCTGTTTCACCCTGATTTAGGGCATTTCCAATAGTGCAAACCGGCTACCATGCAAAGGATCAGTCCCAAGACTGTAAATTCTCACAAAATGCTTATAAATATTGTCACTGATTTGGAATCCAATGGTTTACTTGCTCCTATTTCTGTTCTTTCGGGATATAGATCGACCATTATGCAATGTTATTGGCGGGCATCCGCCGTACTTTCAACTTGATCATGACTTTTTGTATTCGAAGTGTATGAATGGAAATTTTTAAATACTTAAGATCTGGTGATATTCAAAATTCTAGGTCTTAGTTTCGCTAGTTAATATCATCGGGTTCATTTTACATTTCCTACCGCTCATTGTTAATGTTCATTTCTGCAATTGTTTTCAGTCATTCTCTTATTTAAGTTGGCTTGGGCTTGCATCAGAACCTCCTACAAATAAAGTTTTGGTTCCTGGAGCTGATGCTCCTTCTCCTAATCCTCAAATGCACTTGATTCGACGATCAGATGCAGACAGTCGAAGAAATATACAAGAATTTAGGCGGTTGTGGTAAGTTTCATTGGATTTACTTCTAAGTATCTATGCAGATTTCAATTCTTGCTTTTATTGGTTAACTACCTGGTATTTAATTGTCCACTTTTGGTAGTGATAGTTTCGTGCGTATGATTAAATTTATTCGGAGACATCTAGCATTACTAGCATTGTGTTATATCACTTGTCAGTTATAATACATCTACTAATCAACAGATTTCAACAAACTGTGAAAATCGAAAAATCCATTTGGTTAACATCTGTTCATTGATTCGGATTGTTTCATAAATCACTCGGATAATCGGATTGCTTTTCCACTTTTTTTGTCAGAATGTTGTTTTGTTTGTTTTGCACTCAATTATTCTAATTTTTATAGATAACCGAGTAAGGATTTAATGACCTTACATAGTTTGGACATTAGGTAAATGATATTATTATTATTAGCATATTCTTTATATTGATATTCTTATTTCCAAACCAATGAAAAACGAAACCAGGTTTTATTAAAGTCATAGTAATTTTAAATTTACAATATCCAAGTTTATATATGGTAAGTTGAATTGAGTTATTCCATTTGGATGATTCTACGATGTGAATTTGTTGACAAAGATGATAATCATACATAGCGTGAAAGGTGTGATGAGTGTGTGGATTGTACGTTGTCTTTCTTAACAATGCCATAATGCAAAATCACCCATGCAGGAAAGCCATAGATCAATATAGGTGCAAAACTTGGGCATTGTGATAGAACTTAATTCCATATTAGATCAACTTATCATCTATAAGCTAGGATATGGTGAATAACGCTTCACTGTGACATCAATAAAGCTGTTAGCACTAAATGGTGAAACATCAGTGAAAAAAACCTTGTCGTGTTTTCATACTATGAAAAAGATAGGTATAAAAAATAAAGAACATTTTTATTTTGGCTTTTTTCTTATGAAGTCTTTCAGTGTTCTTTAAAAGGCTCTAATCTATTTGGGACAGTAAAAAGTTAATATAACTGTCTCGTAATCATTCATAAAAGAAATCAATCAACTTTACTTGCATTTCGAAGAATCCGTTTTTTTTGATGAACACACAAAAGAATTAGGAAAAAGCGTTGTCACAACACTATAATTTTTTACTGTAGGTTTCTCTAATTGCATATCATCCATAGTACAAAGCTGATCTGTATATGATATAGTTAATTTTAAGTGGTTTATTTAAGTCATTTCCTTTTTATAAAGTTGTGTTAAACAGTAATCAATAATCAGTCAACTTCTGTGCCTAGTATTTTAACTATAATGAGGAATTACGTTTTTGCTATTACTACAATTTCAAACATTTATGTAATGTCTAAAGATAAAACACACTTTATTTTCTTCTTCTTGAATGAGTTGATGAAACTACACTTGAATTGTATTTGAATTGACATTTTACTTGTACTCAACTGTAGTGGTTGCCAGAGAATTTACGACTATGAGTATACGTTTAATCTTGGTTTAGTTTTTGAGCACTTATACATAACATTAATGGCTTCTAGGCATTCATATTTGTTTAGGAAGAAAATAATTTGTAACCCGAACATTTCAGTACCTATCAGAAGTTTGTCATTATCACCGTGATCTTCATATCTTCCAAACATTTGCTTTAATAACTTCTTACTACTGTAAATTGGTCATTCATTACGTTATGAAATTCAGTTTACAGATTTCTGTGTAAAGTTATAAACATCAGTGTAAAACGTAATGCTTCTTTCTTCTTTCGAACTAAAAAATTATCTTTTAAGTTATCTGAATCAATTGGTTCATTAGGAGTATTACACTTGCTACACACTGAATCACTATCTAGGAATATCAAGGGAAGTCTGTTCTCTTGTACTGTAAATATCAAACATCTGGTTTCGATAAGGACTGATACATTGTTGGTAGTCTTTACAAAAAATCAGTACTGTTTGTTCAACCTTCTTTAATCGAAATATCCCTGTGATGTGTTCAAGAAATATGAAGTTACCTATTATATTCAAGAAAGAAAGTGAAGGTTTCGTTTCACGTTTATGCACATTTTATAACATACAGATGACGAATGCATTGTAAAACATTGGCATTTATGATATCAACCAATAAGGACCACTGAAGGAGAAAATAGCATATACCACGGTTGACCGCTGATTCATTTCTTTGTGTCAAAGTTTCTTTTTACTTATTTATATCATGAATAATTTAAGCATATACGTCAGAATTCATTATCCCACTATTATTTTCTGGTGAATGTAATTTATCACCATTTTTAGAAGCAAAAATGTACAAATTTTCATAGATAATAACTGACGTTAGATGATTCAATAGAAGTAGTTTGTAGCATGAAATTAGAAAGTATTTTTATATACATCAAGCTGATACTTTTCATTTTAACTGTTACAATTTTAATTAAACAAGTAGGTTTTTGGTTAGGCGCTCTTCAAGATTCATTACCTAGCTAAATAAAAGAAGTAGTTAGTGCTCTGAAAAACACAGGTTTTCACCAAGCTTGCCAAAGACAGTTCATATTGACTATTGGTTGTCATTATGCGAAGTTTTGTCTCTTTCTAAAAGAAACGGTTACTTAACAGCAACTTGTCGTGTAATTACTCCATATTAGGGATCTGCTTGCAAATAATTCGCAGGTTACCTCATTTTATTATAGCTGGTGTTCAGAGAGTATAATGATTTACACATATATATCAGAGAATGTCTTCTAGTTTATTATACTTAGTGCCAGGTGCTCCACCAACTTAAAACTTGATACATAAAAGTTACTCATCTAAGAGGAATGTGAAAATCCCTTGATCTCTTAACAGTCTGTTTCTGAAGTCGGTACATTTTTGATACATCCTTGTTGAGAGGTTTTAAACGAAGGCAAAGAGGTCTCTAGAATATTTGATTTCGATAATTTTTCATCTTAAGTTGATTTTATGACGAAAATTGTTTTGTGAACAAATATGCTTGATGACATTATGATTTATTATGAAAGATTGTTACACAGTTGATGTAGATTACCATAGTCATCAAAACAAGGGAATAAGCATCATAATCGATGTAACTGTCATGTGAAACAGGAAATCACCTTAGTAATTACTAATGAATACTAACTTAATTATGGTACAGTCGCTGACAGTCAATTAATCAAACAACATTTATTGTCGTAATATTTACCATAAGACTTAAGTACTATCAAACACTTTTTTATTCATTTATCTCTCTTTTGACTTTCTGGGTTTTGACTATTTTTGATATTGATATCACCCTCTAATTACACTTTTTTTAGTAAAGAGCCTGTTTCCGAAGAGGATTTGCTTGAATTACGCTCATCCACATTTAATAATTGGTCTAGAACTGATTCCCAGTTAATGCGTCTAGTACGTGAAATGTTCAAAGAACTTGGATTTATTGAACATTACAAGTTACAGTATCATCGTTTGGATTTGTGGCTTAGTGATATTTATCGAAGATACAATCGTATACCATTTCATAATTACAAACACGCATTTATGGTTACGCAGATGGTAAGTGAAGCTGATTGGGGGTATCACAATTGCTCATTAAACTTTTAAGAGATTTATTCGTTTATCAAGTCAAGTCAGGCAAATTTACTTCTGTCAAATGATTAACATCTATAAAATCTTACTGTACATCCTGGAAGCCCGGCAAAAAGTATTTAATGCTTTTCATGCCACTCAGAAAACGATGGTATATGGCTACATTGGAAGTGCTTGATCTTAGCGGAGTAGATTTGTAACTCAGTGTGTGCAGTTATTTTCGAGTCTCTTATCACCCTCGGTATTTGACCGTATATGTTTCACCTTTAGGCTCACTGATATCATTAGTACTAAACTCTTAGAGATGTTAAATTTGTCCAGGTTATGTGATTATCAGTAAAACATTAAGGTCTCCGAGCTAGTACTCTGAGTGTTATAAAAAACAGCAATTAGGTCAAAGAAGTATTTCTTTTCAACTAGTGACTCTTCGACAACTCTACACTAAAACATAGCATTCTGGAATAAAAATACACGAATCTAGTAATCTGAAGTTAGTTTTCCAAAAATAATCACACTATCAGAATAAAACAACCACATTTGACCTAACATGAGATTTGACTGTGATTTTCTAAGGAAACCAGTATATTCAGACAACAAATTTTGACCTAATACAACCAGAAATAGCATGTCAAGTAATCAAATAAGGGAAGCAAATGATGTTTACTACGGATTCAAACTGATAGTGCACAACTATTCCTAGTAGTCAGCAGTTCTTACCACCCATGAAAGACTGATCAGATCAAAAGGCAACTGATTCGTTCAGATCAACTAATCTGACCGTATAATTTGGAAGGAATGGTGAAACATAATCATGATGATCAATCTTAGAATTATTTACCTTTTGCATAGTTCTGATTAACGTTTCTCCTGTGAAATCAAAAAAGTTCCTTTTTAGGACCACTGTGGACTGCTACTCTGGATGTAAAAGCATTATGAATTAACAACGTATACTGCATCCTAATCATGGTTGTGAATGTTCTTCAAGTACTTATTTCATTCAGAAGCACATGTCGTACTTTATTTACTCAAAGTTCCTGAAAAATAGCAGATTGAAATTATTTTATTCACCTAAGTTTTGTCGCGTATGTATATTTATTTTAGTCATCACTAATACGAGACATACTTCTAACACAGTTGACGGCAAAGTTATAATTTTTATTGGCTCTTCACTCAACTCCTTCATTTTTGTATCCTAGTGTTTTCTACCTACTTTCAGTTGGTAGATAGTGGAATATTCTTTTTCATACTTGTTCAGAATACAACTACTTCCAGATTCTGATTGCTTTTCTTTTCATTCCAGTGTTACGTTCTACTCTGGGGTGGGAACTTGACCAAACTACTTGATATTGATGATCAACTTACTTTGATTATGTCGGCCATCTGTCACGATTTAGATCATCCAGGATTTAATAATGCTTATCAGGTAAGTTCATTTCGGGGAGTAGGGTAAGTGGAAGAAGAGCAAATGAGAGATAAGAAAAGTATCATCTTGGAAAAAAAATTTGTTTTTTAGTGTTTACTTACTTTTTTCATGATGTGTCAGGAGTATGCATGCACAATACTATCGACACTAATTAGGAATATAAGCTCAAGTCTGTTTCTTTTTCCATTAATGCCATACGTATCTGGTTATTAGAAATTTATTTGTCAGTGTAAAGTCAACTTCTGTGAAACACTCTGGGAGCATGAGAAGGAACGTTTATTCACCAAAGATGGAAATAGAAATATAAGCCTTTTTCCGTTCATTTGTCAACACATTTAAACACCAGAATTACATTTTTGTGAGAAGTTACCAGGACTAAAATATCGTTTAAAATAAGTTTCGACTTCTCATTTGATAAGTTGATACTTGCTGTTAAATAAGAGAGAAGTGAAATCAGTTTTTCGTGTATAACTCTAGATTCTAGTGTTACGGAATACAGATATCAAACTTTTTTGACTATTGTTACTGGCAAACTAATATTTTGTACGCTTTCTTAAGCACTTTGACGTTTAAACCAAGGTCGATTATCAGTAGTTCATTTAGAATCTGTTACAAATAAAATGGCTGTACAATATGTACCGCAAGCCTCGTTCAACGAACTCCGCTATATGGAGTTCATACTAGAAAAGGACATGACTAATAGGAAGTATTATATCGATTGGTGAAATTTTCAGTCGCCACCTTGAACAGTGTTAAAAGGTAATTGTTTTCTGCTTATTGACCTTCCTTTAATAGGTGTCATTAGTTAAAGGTTGCATTTGACATGCTAAAAAATCGATTTCATTTTTGTAGATGTAATCATATTTTAGTTTTCTTTATTTTGCATGTAATCTCACCACTCTCTACTTCATAAAGTTTGTACTAGTGTGGTCAAAAATAAAAGCTTTATGATGGTGAAGATCAATATCGTAAAGGTCAGAGAACACTAAACATTTTTCATTTTTATCCTTAAATGAAAATCATCCATTTTTTACTACACTGATATTTCCAGTTTCTTGTATAATATTCTTGTTCATCGTAGTATCAGCCACCTTTGAATAATTATCCTTTTCTTGCTGTTATGAATCATGGCCATGTGGAACGGTGTGCATTTTGTAGTGTTCCATTTTGTTGTTTCGTATCTAAATTTCTGACTTTCTTTCTATCAGATAACCATTTGACAACAGGTATATTGAACATTTAGTTTCTGTTTTCTTTTAAATTATATGCTGCTAACCAACTGTACTTTTGCACTATAATAGTGAAACTTCTCATAAAATAAACTCACTATTACTATTTCTGTCATCACCATGGATTCATTGGCCAGTGGAACAATTTCAGCTAGTTTGTATTTGTAGAAAATAGTTAAATTGCATAGTGCTCTGACCACTTAACTGGGGTTCTAACAGTATTGAGAATTTTGTGTCTGAAGAGTGTAAAGTACTCTCAAGTTTACTTTTCCCCTCTTCTTTTTAAAAAATTGTGTAGTTGATGTGACGTTTCACGACAAACTGCTATGTATGAAAGATAAAATACAAAGATGGTAGTTATGTCATGCAGTGTTGTAGGACTTAGTACCACCTTTCTCTTTCCTCTAATGTCGAAAACACTTTGCTCGTATATTAGTCATTATCATCAGTGATATAACCTTGTTATATAAATAGGAGGACACATAAACAATAACCTTCAAACTTCACTCTTGGTTATCACTCGGTTTCTCGGTAAGTAGAAAAGGCATTAAGATAACTAAAGGTGGATTGCAATGTCAAAATGTGTACATAATACAACGGTCTATATATATTTACAGTGGCCTTGGTTATTGCTAGGCCTTTCAAGAAGGGCAGATCCTATCGATTTTGCCTGTCCAACCAATTCGGTATACAGGTTCAAGTACTTTTTCTTGTAACTTCGAAGGGACACAATCAGTTGTGAGATGCTTCACTGATTTATGGCTTCTTATGAGGATCGCAGCAGTCTTATTATACACTGTAATAGCAATATGTTTCTATTCTACGCCATGTGAAAACTGTTGACTACCATTCATCTTACAGAATGTCTTATTATCTCATGCTAACCATTGATTTATTCGCTCTACCTGTCCATCATGAGTTTTCCGGACTCTTCGTTGCTGCTGAATTGTTGTGAAACAAATGGATACATTAGGCCATAACTTTTTCCCAATACATATATGACATGAATGTGTGTTATAATATGGTCGTTCTTCATTTGTTCTGAATAAAGGTCATATCAACCTTTGTTCGTTATTACACATGAATACTTTGATAAATACAGAAGGCAGACAGATATCATCCTCGATAGAAAAATACCCCATCGAAACAAGTCTTTGAACTAACCTTGAAATAGAATTTGGACTATTATGCAGAAAAAGTGACTTCAGTAGCCACCTCATCAACTTTATGCTTTCTTTGATACTCTTTGTTTTCCGATACCAATGTTGGTGTCAAAATATATTATTCCTCCTTTGTGATGCTTCGCGCCTCAAATCTTTTATTACGTCAGTTTTATTCGCATGATCCCTGATAATAAATATGTGATCAGATTGTTTTGAATGTATTAAGCTAATATATCGGATTTCTCGGATGAACTCTACCTTATTGTATCATGCAAACTCATGAAAAGGATTTACTATTCCTAAATTTCGATTTCTGTCTATAACCTTTACAGCTAAATTACGGAGTATGTTGAGATAGACGTTTACTGGCAGCAGAAAGTTTCATTGACATAAACATTCAATGCAGTGCATTATATTGAGTTCACTCATAAAAATATGAGGGAAAAAATAACAAATTATCACTCATTTCACCACATCTCTTATGTACCAATGAAGTTGATAGGATTAAAAAGTGTGTAGCATTCTTTTACTGTCAAAACGATATTATATACTGCATTTAACTCCAGATCCTTTGTCATTTAATAAACATTTAGTGTACTCAGCTTTCATACTACTATACCATTGCATTACATAAATGTGAAATATTACATATGTGAAAATGTCCAGACATTTGGTTTGTCAGTTGGTACATATTCATGAACGGATTTCTCATCTTTCGTTTGTATTTTCTTCTTCCACTTATACATCCGGATTATTAGGTATAATTAACTCAGGGAAAATTAACTTATGACGTAATAATTAAATATATACTCATGTTTGATGATATCTAGCGTGATAAGAATAAACCACAGCTACATTGACTGGTTTTTGGAGGGTATTTAACTTCATATTGTTTTTTTCATTGGTGTTGATCGAATTTCTCTCCTCCGAGCCTGGTGACCACTTTACAAAATGATCAATATATATGGTTACCCTTCAATAACCAATATGTACTTAACCTGGACCTATAAGAGGTCAATTGCAGCCCAAACACCCTAGTAGTGGAAATAAGTGATATGGGTTTGAAACTCCAGCACCATATTAGTTCCATTGAGGTTGCAGATACGAAACAGCACAAAACCTAGTTCCAAGGCTTCCAGACAATTGCCTCTATGCAACTAGCATTAACCATAGTTTTCTGTATGAATAAGGTTTATTAAACACGGCAATAAGAAATAATCACTCAACATACATGATAAAATCTTGGCTTTTCCTACAATAATATAAGAATGAAGTCTATGTTACAGTTCAAATTAGGTGTCTTTTCCATTTAAATGTGATTGAGATCTATTTATTAGTCACCAAGTAGTTGTGTCAGTAGAATACTGAACTACTTACACATAGAATGGTTGGTTCCGCATTTCACCACTTTGTACTCCCACCAAATTTGATCACCATTAATTTTACGATTACATAAGAAGAAAGGAATTAAATTTATGAATTCAAATATTCAGTACATTAACAGGTTTTGTTGAGCACTATAGGTGACGGAATACTTTTCTCTTTGAAACTTCAAACACACATTAGCTTAATTGACTGCTTCCTCGAGCATCTCGATTCATAATGTGACAATAGGTTAGAGGTTAAAAAGCCTCTTCTATTACTTTAGTCAGGGTTATCGGGTAGTACTATACTCATTTGTATGCTAGGTGTTACTGCTTTATAAACTAACTAAATCCACTTTTGTCATTTCAGTTATACTCTTGGAAATTCTCCTAAGTGATATTAGGACATTACCTTGATAACTAACAGACAAGAAAGCTACACAACCCACTAGTCATATTTTTATCCTTGTTTATTTTATTTAAACTTGATATCGCATTAAAGTAGTACTAGAATTTTAGTGAAAATGCTTGTCACCTATGCAAGACAATGGTAAACTGATTATGAACAAAAGATGAAAGTAAAGCAGATAAATATTAATCAATAACAACAAACCGTAAACAACAGTTGATATAATGAAGTGGGAGAGTGAAAATAAAATTCATGTTTACGGTAGCTGGAAAACAACCAGTGTATTTCGTTTTTAAAACGGTCATTTTCCAGACTTTTCACTAAGACTACCTATAATAGTTGGAGGAAAGTTGGATTATTTTATCGGTTAATTATGCAATCATAATTGAAAGTTATTTTAACATCAAGCTCATGTCTAGTATTCAATAAGTGATGTGGGATCTTTCATAAATTGAAATTTGTCCTACTCAAATAACGTAGCATTGACATAGTCAATTACATACTATGCTAGAATTTATTTTGTTTACAAAGTTTGAATTCAAAGTCTTTTTCAAGCATCAAACTTCTATCTTCTTGAGACGTACTGATATTTGTGAATATTTAATAATTTTTAATTGTAATTTTTCATCTCCAGTTGTTTCAGGCTCAGACAATTTATGTAATTAATTACATAATCTATTTATCATTCGCTCTTCAATTGTTATTATAATCACAAATGCCTATGTCATCATCCGCTCTATTATTATTGTCATCACCACATGGTGTTTAGTTTTCCTCACAGGATATAATTTTCTCCAAATATCATATATATACAATTGTACAGCTTGAAAATGAATTCTTTGAAAGGAATCTCTTCGCTGAATATCTTGTTCTTGATGTCACAATGGGAATTATTAAATAATTAGATGATTTGTTAAATTGCCAGTTTTAATTCACATCCGAAACATTCATATCGACTCAGTGACCAACGAGTCCAAGTTCAGCACTGAACATTAGTTGTTTACCATACCAGGAGCCACTGATGCACTTATATTCCTAATATTTACCAACTCAAAGAATACGCTAAAATACATTTCGACGTAAAAATGTCTCGCTCTCACTAAAACATATCTCACAGCAGAAGTTAACCACACCATCGGTTTACCAGAACCAAAAATGAAAAAAGAACTGTAAAACTCCAAATAATCTATTATTAACTGATAAGTTGAGTCAAAGTAGAACCTTTGGTGATAACATCGCTGAGCTGTCGTACTGCCATATTGCCTAGTGAAATGTTATTGAGATGTGAATGAGAAAAGTTCAGTAGTTAGTCTGGAAATGTTAACCAGAAGTCCAAAATTTGTCTAAAATTTAAAGATCTTGAGTATACTATCAACTTTATCTAAATATTAGTCTCCACAACTAATTAGAAGACTTGCTGCTTTTCAAAAGACAAGCTGGGAATCAGTAGGTCTATAAGAAAGAACACTTCGAACTTTGGTTGTACCATTCTAAAATCAGTCCAAAACACGGAGTAGTCAAACAATTACCGTAACAAACATTTATCTCTACAGTTTCGTTTTACCGTTGACTGGTAGTTTAATCGATGTGGCAAATGATGTCAAAATTAACTGTTCTTTGGTCTAGACATTCACTTCATGTCAGATATCTATAACTTTCTCATGTCACCTATATTTTACAATCTATAGGGATTGAAGTGGTTTTTTAAAATCATATTTAAAGATAAATTGTTTTGTAGAAACTATTTCTATTGCTTCCTGCTCTGATATTTCTTTCCTATTTCAGATCAATGCTGGAACGGTATTGGCGATGCGATATAACGATCAAAGTCCGCTGGAAAATCACCATTCAGCAGTGGCATTCGATTTGTTGAGTCATGCAGAAGTTGATCCTTTCGCTCATCTTCCTTTCAGTGTTCGACAACGAATTCGCAAAGGAATGATAAGGTGAGACTACCAGTTGTATTGCTGACTCTAACTACCTTCATAAACAATGTCAGTTTTGCAACCACTTAGCCTGCTGCAAAGACAATGTGGTACAATGTATTCAGTGTCACATGTTAGTAGATAACAATCATGGAAGATCCAGCTCATTATTATTAAATGTCTGCCTAAACTGTTTGAAATCAACTGGTTAGGGTAGAAGATTGATGGTTCACTTGCAGTGTTTCTACCAAGTCAAGTATCTTTGTGGTGTTCATACCATATCGATATAGAGAATCGCACTTATAAACTGTTTATTGCATTCACTTTTTTCTCTTTTTTCTTTCGATAGATGTATATTAGCCACGGATATGTCACGTCACAATGAAATACTAGATGAATTTAATCGTGTTGTTCTAGGTGATTTACAAGCTGCCTGGGAAATTGATACCAACACGAAAAAGCCTGTTTGGGTAACAAATAAGACACAGAAAGATCTTGTTATGATCATTATCTTGAAAATATCCGATATTTCTAATGAAGCACGTCCCCTGAATGTTGCTGGTCCATGGATAAATCGATTATTGGCAGAATTCTTTAATCAAGTAAAATGTCCTTGTGTATTGTAATGTATTTTCTATTTACTCAATCAAAAACGAAAAACCAATGAGACAGTTCAGTATAAGTTCATAAATTATTATTCTTTATAAAGTTAGTTTCAGCAATCTTTCAGTTCTAGGTAACAGATAGATAAGTATAATTAGCTGCTTTGATAATGCATGACTTTTCTCTTCCTCGTCTTAATGAAATGATCTCAACAGCACTAATACTACTAATAAACTTCAGTTATCAAACTAAATACTCCCTGACTAACATTACCGAAATCCTGATTGTTGCATAACAGTCAAAGTGTAAAATCTCTATATCCGTTATGAATAGGCCGAATTTAATCCAGGTACTATGATAGGTGAGAATTATTCACAAACAAAAGCAGAAGATTCGGGTCAAACTCTGGATTGTTACGGCTTTATGCTTTATTGGCCGTGTACATAACTCCATCTTCCTTCCTTTATTCGCCATGTTTTGATGATTGTGCATTGAATTTCAAAAAGACTATGTTGTTTGCTACGTCAATCGCTAGATTAGGAACAAATAAAGTTGAATATTCTCTTCGTATATATTCTTAGGGAAAGACTGTAGGTCTATTGTACTTACGGGCATTTCTTAATATATGAAATTATATATAGTATCTCCCTGACTGAGTAAGCTTCTGTTTTGAGGTGGTTGGAACGACTCAAATCTCTGAGGTAAATCAAGCAGAATGTAACAAGGATGAGCTCTCACTCATGTGATCGAAAGGGCAGCCTAGTGTCTAGATCATCTCAAACCTATTGGCATGCACTATAAGATGTTTCACCATCACTCATGTCAGTCTAGAATATATTTCGCGGTAAATTATATACTTTAGTATATTAATATTCTCTACAAATTATTATTTCACTGTTGAAACCTTGCTTTGAACCCATTTCCCTAAAGATTTTTGCAGAGTTTAGTGATATGTAGAGAACTGAATGAATTCAAAGTGTTTATCACGAATAGACATGAACTACAGTATCATTAAAACTCAAAGACAAGTGGAAAAAGAACTTCCCTTATTACATTACCGAAGATCTGAAATAACTAGAATTCAGCTCATGAACACTAAAAAGTTCTTTTTTAATGTGATAAATTCAGCTCAATCAATAAATGAAAGTATAATTGCTTGCATAAAATGACACTAATATATTCTGAATTTATTTTGTCGGCTACACAATCAACACAATACCTAGTCGTTCATTCCACGAGCCATTATGTGACTGAATAATTAGAGATAAAAGACTAAATTCTAAACAACTATTATTTTTGTGAACATTTGACTAAGTGAAAAATTATGTGATGTGCTTGCATCACTACACTCATTCTCTGCCATATCCTCAACTATTGATTTGATTTGTTTTGCGAAATACAAGAACTTATCAGCCTTACACGACTCAGACAACGAGTCAGGACTTTACATTTGACACCATATTGTTTAGCGTAACAAAGCTTGTTCAGACTAATCTCACATCAGCTAAGCTAATACCTTGTATTGGCTGTTGTTTCAACAATCATGATAAATGTCTTAGCTACTGATTTACATCTTAACCACTTTTATACATCCAAGCGCTATTTCACTCACATGTTTGGTACACCATTCATACATCATACATACACAGTAATACCTCAGAAAAGAAAAGCAGTCAAATACGTTTACTGACCAAGGCTTATGAGCACAGAATATTAGGAATCAGCTGACTACTATTTAGTACACAGCTTGATCCACTAGTGGTGTTACAATTTCCTTAGTTATAAAACTGCTAAACGAATTCAACCACTGAAACTTCTGATGCTCAGTGTATTGTGAACTTACAATTAATCAGTAATTCTTCCACTTAGTTCGTCCTACAGATGAACTTTAATGTTAACCAGATAGTTAATTAGGGATAACTTTTCTGTTAATTTTTTAAATTCTGCAGCGAAATGTATTCTGTTGATACGTTTTGATGATTATTATTTTGAAATTAAAAGCTGATTGGTTCTTTGTGTTTTCTGTTTCATTAATAGTTAAGTAGAGAACTGTAAACATTTATTTACTTCTCTTCCATGTTCAGCTGACAAGAGATATTTTAAGTATTGTAAATAATCACCACTATACATTCAACTAAATTAGCTGTATCATTTTGCATTGTAACAGTCAACTTTGCTAGGAGACAAATCAAAACTTGAGGTGTTCTTGGCACTAAACTAGGCAACCACTGTCCAAAAAAGGAAGTCAACTACAGGTTAGAGTGACCAACTTTTGACTCGCAAGTCATCAGCTGCCACTTACTCAAACCTTTCTCAGCTATTTCAGTTTAGTTGTCATCTAAAAGACATAAAGAAATTTGACTTCTTGCAAATAAATATCCTTTTCACTTCTTTTTACTATTATAGAGCGATTATGAGAAACTTGTTGGTCTTCCAGTTGCACCATTTATGGATCGTCATAAGGTGACAAAATCAGCAAGTCAGTGTGGTTTCATTCGTTTCGTTATTCTTCCACTCTTCGAATCTCTGGCAAAGTTGTTACCAGAGGTTAAGGTGAGCATGCATCTACGATTGGAACATTTCAACAATCAATTCCCAGTAATCCTGGTGTTTATACAGCTTACCTAAAGCACCTAAATCCTTTATTTTCAGTAATGCCAACCTGCAGATCACTGTTGCATAAGCTGTCACAGTCATCAGTAGATATATTGAATCCCATAAGAAAACAGCTGTGTGAGAAATCTTTATGAGTTATATTCCAGATAACTAACCAACTCAGTAACATCAACATCAAAAAAATGTATTGTATTTGTTTGATTTTAACACGCTATTACTCAATTTTAAGTTACTAGGTTCGTGGACACTTATTGATTTCAGGTTGCAGTTCACCATTGACTGACATCAGGCGGAGAAACATTGTAAACCCGGGGACATTTAACGACTGTTTCGTTTTAGTATGGGACTCCTTAGCAGTGCGTACCCATGACTCTACTAGGGATCGAAGCCAAGACCTTCAGGTCCCGTGGCCAGCACTTTACCATTGAGTCACTGGGTCGGAATCCAATTATCCATATTTCCTACTTCTGTGGATTCACGATGTAGTGTGACCTCCATCCAATATCATCGTTTAGTAACTCTCTTCGTGTTCGACTTAGTTGGCCCAACTGGTCATGAATCCTCAATGGAACTTCAGGAATCACCTCTAGGAGCTAGTCACCAATTAGCACTAGACCAATTCATTTTTGGGTTTATGGGGATTTATTGAATTCATGTTGGTAATAAGCATGAGGCCAAGTAAGTCGAACATGAAGACAGTTACTCAGCGACGACATTAGATGAAGGTTGCGCTATATCGTCAATCTACAGAAGTAGGATATATGGTTCATTGGATTCCGACCCATTGACTCAATGGTAACGTGCTGGCCACGGAATCTGAATGTCCTGAATCTGGTCCCTCGTTAGGTCCTGAGTGCTCACTGCTGAGTAGTCCCATACTATGATGAAACAGCTATCCAGGTTTCCAATGTTTCTCCAACTGCTGTTAGTCTATGATCTTTAATTCTTCTTTGACGAACAAAGTGGAAACCATGTGTGGTTGTTTATTTTGTGCTTAACTTTTCAGTATATTTTTTCCTATCATACTTAACAGCGTCACTACTTCTGCATGCAGGAGGTGTGAAATTGAAATCTTAAGTCCAACATTTCTATGTGACTAATGGTCTTTTTGTGTGAAATTCTGAATAGATGCATTTTAAAACTTTCCCAGCAGTCCAATTGTAGGAGATCTTTCTCATCAAAAGTATACTGATGATATCGTGGTCATAATAATTCAACTTTAGCGTTTCAATTCTCAGCCAGTCTAACGAAGTACGAGATAACATATTTCTGACACAGATAGAGGTGGAAAATAGTCGCTTGCCTTTCTTGAAGACGATGATTATTCGACGACAAGATGCATGAATAGAACGCTATACTCACTAAACGTCTATATTGTCATAGTTAATATCCATTTCAGTATAATGTGAGTTCAAACATCTTCCCACATACCAACATCTGAGTGGATAGGTACTATCATCAGCAAACACAGTGGGACGCGGCTTATTTCCTAGTGCACGAACCTGTGACCGTTCGCTAATTAATACTTAATTACTACTATTTTAGATGCTGGCAACTGTCTCTACATTTCCTCGATCACAGAATATTGTTGATAAGGGTCATAAGTTCCGTGTTATGCTACGCCTAAAGCTTGTTCAATCAGGCGTAGGAAATTTAGTGGCATTTTTTATTTTCGAAAACAGTTTTTCATCACATTCATCCTTCATTTTCGAGTTTAGTCAAGAAACCTATATCAACATACTAATAATTAGACTTTGATTTAGGCCTTTACGTAGGTCTTTACGCCAGACCTGATACCAATTTGTCAACTCACATTCCCTAATATCTTCTGTGTAAACATTTAATAAACACTTGTGTGGCAGGTGCACACTTGGAGACTGATGTAAGTGTTTGGTGGGAAATACCACTGAATCTAGGTGAAATTTGAAAACCTTGCGTTAAACAGTTCATGGATATAGTCTCTAATTCTACATTAGAGATGAGTTGACAGCCAGTTTGTCTTTCTTCATTATTTGTCTCATCTGTTTGCTTCATCGGACCTATTAGCGGTTCGATGATACCCCATCCCGATTTTACCAGAGACATTAGGTTATATACTATCTACATGCTTGTCTGTACTAATAACGTAAGCCACAACTGTATGAACGGATCCCCTGAAGTGTTTTCCTCAGAAACATCATACAGTAAAAGTACGTCTTGTTATTATCTTGCTGAAATCCATAAGAGAAGCAAATTTCTTTGAACGATTTCGGAATGAATCTTTCCAAAATATTCTGTTTAATGTGCACTTAATTCATAGCCACAGCATTTTCTGCTGGTCTCTAAGACTGTTTTATTCATTTGGCGCCGAAAACTCGTTTTTAATTGTCTGACAACGAAACGTTAGGTAAACTACTTGTTTATTCATTTGATTTGATCTTGATGGTGGATTTTTAATTATCAACTCCAGCTCTGAAATTCTTGAAATTTAATGAAATGATATAACTGCCTGTGAGTATTTTGATTACAAGGTTGAGTCAACCAGTTTTACAGTACTTGGCTGAACCACCGATAAACCTTGATAACCTTTTTTTGAGATTTATCTTCGAATTACACTTTAACAGAAGTCGAAATATCTCAGAAATGGTTCATGTGAATACAAAGCGTTTAAGCTTAAGCTACATGCTAGTTTTTATTGCTTTAAGGAACTAAAGAAAGGGTATACCAGATGAAAGGTTGGTGATATTCTCCTGGTTTAGACATAGTATCTGTTTTTAGGTAGACAATGTAATATAGTCTCAATAGTTTTTTATCCAATGTCTAACCGTAGTCAAAACTGAGTAAAACTCCTGTACTTACTGGTGATTTTCCGTCTTTTTGTCAGATAATAATGTTAAAGTTGTATAATAATTCTAAACGCTACATATCGCTTATATCTCGATTGGTAGCAAAAGCCCTTGTTTATAGGACACAAATCTTTAGTATAAAAACTTCACATGGCCTTTTACTAACCTACTCCTTAAAATTAACTTTTATTTAGCCAATCATTGTTCAACCAGCCTTGGAACAATTGGCCTACTATACAGAGTTACACGCAAATGAAGAGAAGAAAATGAAAGTGGATAATCAAAAATCAAACAACAATGAACTACAAAGTGTTAATAAAACCAAGAATACAACAGATAAGTTGTGATTTATTGCTGATGTAGTTTTTTTTCAAATTGACTTTAAGGAGAATAAAGTGCATGTTTATTTCTAATGTCAATATTATTCCCGTTAATAATGTTGGTTATTGATGAAGTCCTTTTATTACTATGATTATTATCCTTTACCTTTTATCCTCTTTCTTATAACATGTGAATTGCTTCATTGTGCTTTCATCCTCGGAATACGTTTACAGCTAGAATGATATACAGATAAACACCCTTTCTTTTGTTTAAAAAAATGGCACCATTTTAATTAATTACTCTGACAGTGAAGAAAACTTTCGTTAATTTCTCTTTCTTTTATTAGTTATGGTTGTTTATTTTTGTATCTTTCATTACCTTTAGGAGAATTCACCTTGTTTATGGCTATCAAGTCTTCTTTTCGTTTTGCTCAAGAAAAGTATTAATGAATTGAATATATATTATACACGTATCTGATTAGTAATTGTACTAAAAAATATTTTAGATTAGATTATTTATTTTCAAAGATCTGAGTATATAAAACTTCTTTGAAAATATATATCGTTTAAAAGCATCGTAAAAATTATCTGTATAAAAATTTATTGATTTTGTTTAGTGGTATTCATCTATGTTACTTGGTATTATGACTTTTCACAGGAGTATCTTGTTCCTTAATTAACATTTTAGGATTTAATTATATACTACTTTACAAATGAATAAGTAAGCAATTACTTGTACACTTTTAATTTTTAATATTGAAAGTGATTATTTAACTTGTTTTTAACGTATGCACTGAATGTTCTTCTCCTGTTCATGTTGAATGTTGCTTATGCTGTAGCAGAGTTCACTGATCAAACTTTGTATCAATTATTACCTAATCTACATCCTTTGCTTATCCATTAATTCTTCAATGTGATTGTAAGTTTATGGAACACTGAAGAATTATGAAACTATAGAAATGAAAACTGCATAAGTTGAAAAAAACATTTTCTCGTCGAATACAGACATAAGTTTAAGGTCATTTGAAAATTTTTATGCAGCATTAAAGTTTCTAAAAAATTTTACTCCCATCCTATTTCATGAATCTTTATCCGTTTGTGTTTGTGAATCAGCTGACTTAGATAATATTCATTTTGTTCTCTCATCATTTAACAGGAAGATAATGAAACAAAATGAAAATTTTAACCTACAAGTTTAGATGCATATGTGACTTGTTAAAATCTATCTGGTTGTATGAATAGTTACATGTGAGATCAAGCTTATATGAGTGAATGAAGCATATGCATTCCATAATAATGAACAGGTTGTAGGGCTTTACAGTTCATTATTATATACTTTTTAGATCTTTCCATAACTTAAAATTCTTATCAGTACAGTTGTATATGTTTTATATTGTTACTTGAAGTTTTGCTGCATTGTACAACCCTTGTGACCACCACTGTCAGCACTTACTCCTCCTTATTCTTCTCGTTACGCTTCTGTCAATGGTATTCTTTAACTTTTACTTCTTTAAATATTTAAATACCAATTGTTTGAATATCTAACAAACCTGTTTAGGTTTTTCTTTTTCCTGTTTTTGTCTTCTCAGTATTTTGTTGGTCCCTTCTCCCAATTTGTATTTTGCACAAAACATTTTAAAAAACTTTAAAATGCTTCTTTTTTCGAGTTATTGTTAATAGTTAAATTAACTTATCATAATTATTTCGAGGTTAATGTTACATAAATATCAGAAGAAAGCGTAGATGCTGTGATAGGATATGATTCGTCTCTAGCTCTCTTTCTCTCTCTCTCTCTCTCTCTCGCTATATATATATATATATATATATATATATATATATATATATATATATGACATCTACATTATTTATAAAAATTGCTGATTTAGAGATAACCTTCACCTACTAGAAAGATACCACAGCGTCACCGAAATGTTCATAAATAATGAACCAGGAAATATAACTTCGAGCAGTTGATTTCACTCATTCAGTGACAGGATAACATAAATAAATGGATATGACCGAGAACAGCGGTGGCGATCAGTGGGAACCACTGAAAGTGACAAGTAGCATGCAATCATTGACAATGTATAAAGACTGATGTCGTTGGTAAAACTTTCTTAATAATAGTAATACTAATAATAATAATAATAGTTGCCTTATTCTGAAAGCTATTTCGGGAATACTCTGCAGAATTTTCAGCACGTCATATAGCATCAGCTGGATATAAACAGAAATTACATGAGAAGATAAAATGTCTACCGTGTCTACAAATTTCTTCAAAATACACAGTGAGTTTAGGTATACAATCACATTGGCGGTTTGGTTCATAATAGGTAAAAAGTAATGCGCTCATCTTCAGTTAGTTTGCTTTCAAAAACACAAACTGATTTGTCAGTTCATTTCTAATACTTTCTTCATCACACACAGGATGAGCCAAATACGGTATCTCAGAGTTTTTATATTTTTTAGTACGTGCATCGAGTCTTATGTACTTGCTCCTCGTCTTTCCAGATGACCGACATGTAGAGAGCTTCGAGTGAAGAGGACGTTGGTCATCTGGTAAAATAACTCCTGCCAGATGTTTGCATGAATTAATATGTTTGTCTACAACAATTTTAACCAAAAGGTCAAAGGGTACACCACTATTTCTGCGGAAAATCTTCGTAGCTCTACGTAACAAACCATAGCCTTTTTTCAGAAACTCAAGAAAGAATAAAGGGTAGCAATAGAGGAGGACAGGCAAGAAGCAAGAGTTTATGCAACATAAGAGGGGAGACTAATTAACACCACATACTCTCAGCTTTCTAATATAGAAAGCTAGGCGGAAGATTCTTTTGAAAATTTATGAGATATGAGATCAGGAAAGGTTCGAGGAAAAACACACCAAACTAAATCACATTTGTAACCTTTTCTAATGCGCAATTATCAACAGAATAGGAATCGTGAAAACTAAGCAGTTTACATAAGTTATGTTCACATCTGAAACTAAAGTTTATGGTCTGACATTTTTAAGAACTAGGCATAAGACCATTCTTGGAAGACCATCGTCTAACAGTAGATAGGAAGTCATTCAGTCATGAGTAATCTGCTAAAGAAGAGATAGGTATGGAAACTTTTGGGTCATCACCGTATTTAGTGAAATCGATGCCAGTTGAAGATGATATGTCATGCAGAAAGAAAAGACTTGGAGAACTCAAGTCACAGTAAGCAATGAGATGGAGCACTTCCCTCTGTGAACAGTATGTTGTTTTCTATCAGAGAAATAGGAATGCAGCCAAATGATTATCCAGGACTCAGTATTTGTCCCGGTTAGCTTGTCGAGCAAAAAAGGTCTTTGAACAGAGTTAAATGTCGAAGTATGGTTTAAAAAGACACACCTAACGTGCTTGGTATTTTTATTAAGATTATCAGCAATATCGTGACATAAAAGAGGAACGGCATCCAAAGGGCTTCTTCTGCTTTTATATGCAAATTGATTAGGTTATCTGATGGCCTCCAGTGAGGGCTCGAACACAGGTATTATATACTTCTGCATTATTTTTAAGAACGGAGATGTAACTACAATCGGAGAGTATTTTGTAGATACACCTGGAGTCCTAGTCTTAGGTACGGGGACTATCTTAATATCTTTCCGGGCAGCTGGTATGGTGTTTTCTAAAAGCGATCTGTAGTACGTGTTAGCTAATGGATAGCATAAAATATCAGCACATTTCGTGAGTACGAAGCTTGGCATACCATCCGAACCTGAACTGTGAGAAGGGTTTAGGGACTCGAGACATTTGAAAACATCGTTCGCGGTGAACTCTGAGCAACGTTCTTCACTAGACATATGTAGACATAGTGGGATCAAACAAGTGGGTTGACATAAAAATGATTTGTTCAAGTCACAGATGTTGACATAAGGTTCTTTGCTAGGATATTTACCTCCAATGAGGTTTTTAAATAGTTTCCACATGCTAGAAGAACCTTTGCATGACAAACGTTTCTGGTTGTAAAGTAGGCTCAGACGTTTAATTTCCAACCTAATTAAAACGTTCAATCGACGAACACCAGCATTATTACTAACCTTACATAGTCTTTTTTTTCCCTTCTTAGTTTCTTAGGCTGGGTAAAGGATATATGATCTCAGCGTAGAAAAAGCTTTTCACTAGAGTAACATATGTCTAGGTAAAACTTGAGATAGCATGTTCTACCATCAATAGTATCATTCAAATCATCCCTGTCAAATATATTCCAGTACGTACACTGAAACATTCCTCTTAGATTAAATATGTTACTGAGTTGATAGTTTCTATGTACAATTTCCTTATTTGTGAATACTGCTTTGTGAAGTTTGCCATACATTTTGGGCAAAACATGTATCGTACAATGATCTGAGCTGAGCAGTGGAGATCTCTTTCGAGTTTCGTACATATCATTATCATTGACGAATACCAAGCTGATGAGGAGGAATACTTAGGTACAGTAACGTCAGAATAGCTTTGAAACTTGCTGCAGAACTGGATCATAAGGAGTGTGAGGGCAGTATGAGCTGCAGTTGCTGGAAGTAGTTGAGTTGCATTCACTTCAATTTTGCAAGCACCTTCTTCAATGCAGAATGATGCATTGACTACATCTTAATTCTGCAGTTTTGACTGCTGAACAAGCAAAATAGTGCATTTACTTGACTGAGTTCATTGGCTTATTTGTACTTAGCGTTGAAATTATATCTCAGCAACATAACTACTAATTTTTGAAGGTGGTTAGCCGTGAACACTGAGTTACATTTAAGAAGCGCGCAGTTGATAAAGCTCTTGTAGAACAACAATGTGTTAACTGATAAGACGAAGAGGAGTTAGTACAGTTACAAAATTTGATGGAGGAGGCAGATTTAGAATCAAACTTATGCCTTCTGGATATGGCTGATGTCCATGTTTATCGAATGTAAAACTGATTCGCTCTACAGAACCCATGAAAAATTTACACTGACCGGCTTTAAGTTCGAAACAAACTCAGACATCTATGATACTACAGCATCAAGTCGGTTAAGTCATTCAGAGGTACTGGTGCCTGTGGTAACCACTTCACCCAGACAGACTGCAGTTTAGTCGGGTAGTGTTGTGCCCATGATTTTTCGGAAGGTAACAAGTGCTGGCTTGACAACAGATGATAAGCAGGTATTCTGGTAGAGATCTCGAAGGATGTTGATTATCAGTAACCCTCTAGAACGTGGTTTCATTTCTACTTGAAGGTAATCATTTGCAAGGTTGATTTTGGCAAAGTATCTAGCACCATTAAGCTTAACGAATGGATGAATGCAGTGGATAGGTATGATCTAAATTATCTCCCGAACTAGTTGAAAAATCTCCACGTGGATGAACAGAACAACTAGTTAAGAAATATTGCAGCAGCCCATGGAGAATCTGTGGCTGATTGGATGGAAGATACCAAATGTTTCTAACACATGAAAGCTGCTATCAATTACCTGCACTACGACATATGAAACTGGGCATTTTGAGGTAAACCAGTGACTTGATATTTGGCTTCGAAAACGGACTGACTTGAGTGAATTTACCGAGTTCGAGCTTGTTCTGCTAAACGGAGGCATGCTTCTGACAGAAAAGCTTCAGTAGCAGTTTTTCTGAAAATGTGGTGAATTGGTACCATATGGCGACAGGGCTACATGAGAACATACTAAATTTAATGTAATATTTGTAACATCCAGTATATCCGTCAAGTTCAAAACAAGTAGGTCTATACCTATCAATTTGTAAGACAACATACATTATCAAATCGGTGCTCTCCTTAATAAACATGATAACTGGTCTTGCTAGTGAGGTTTAACACGTCTCCAGAAGAGTTTCTACCAATGTGTTCCTTTGGCAGAATCTGTGGGCATCCGGGTGTGCTGCACTTGCTGCGAGAAGTTAAGGTGATATCAGATGCTGTATCATTACCGCACAAATTGAAAATTTTCGTTTGCTTCCAGAGTCTAATTTATGTTATGTATTTGACTGGACGACTTACATTTAATTTGCACGGAAAGATTTTTCTTTGGAGAGCAGTGACCCTCCTTCTACTTCAAGTGACGACACTGGCAAAAATTACTCTTCTTGAATGGAAAAATTTTTACAGAAGGCCATTAACCATACTACTAATAAATTCAAAGAGGGTTTACCTTATGTATATGACTGACGTTCTGCAGAGTGTGTTAAATAATTAGACAGTTTCACCGCTTAAACTGGGTCTTTGGGGACCTTCAAGCTATGAATGAAAATCAGATATTGAAATTGGTCAGGCCTCATTTCATTGTTTTCAAATCTTTCACATTCATGATTGACATTGCCAACATGCGGCATAAAAAACATTAGAAGATAATTAGGTTGACTGAAACCCATGGCAGTGAATATTTAACAGAGATGATTGTTCACAAAAATTTTGTCAAAAATCTCAACAGTTTCATCAAAAGAATTCCTTGAAGAATGAAACTGAGATATTTACTGTGTTTGACAGTACCAAGTCTTCATAATAATATACAAACTTTGACTGTATTATTAAACATCTAGCATTTAATAAAACATATCATGTCAATTAATCTAAGAATCAAATATTTAACCAGACATTGGGTCATAATTGAACTCACTGACAGAGTCAGAAATGCTTCACATTTATCTGATTGAGATGGTGATGCCAAGTGAATGAATAGTTAGTCTTAGTTGAGTCGCTCCATTTTGTGGTTGTTTAGTTGTATGGTAGATTTCAGACTGTTCACCAAAATAGAGATCCCAAACTGAAACCGATCCCAATCAGAAGTAAAAGCAACTAACTATCATAAGACATTGATATAGCAACGATACTGAATGCAATTAGACACCTGAACTGCTTACACTAATAACCGTGCAATGAGTCAAGCAATATCACAGAACAAAGATTGCTCTGTGATCACAAGAACGGCATTATTTTTACAAAAATGCATGACGTATACACAGTTTTCACGAAGAAAAGAATACATTAGACCAACGATACAATAACGTATCTTGATTGCCTTCCTGAATGATGAGATTATCCAGTCAGATTTATACTGACCACACAGGAGCATAGATCAAAATCTGAAGCTCAGGAACTTCTACTTCATTGACCAACGACTTAAAAGGTTGATTTCCGTTCTAACTACTTCATAACTGAATCAAAGACATAATTTGCTGAATAAATAATAAGTGAAGAATCCGATAAATTAGGATAAGGAATAACATATTCACTTGTTTGTATGGCTTTCATTCATGATTAGTTTATTATTGATAGTGAAACTGAATAAATGCATGATTTCAGCGTTAAATTCTAACGAGAGTTGTTTGTCTATCAAGCTTGGAATTAATTTATATCTCAACATCACTTTATAATCGTCACATACTTTGATAAGATACTCTAGGAGACTGTTTCACTCCGGATAAGGTGATCAGTCCGATGGCGTTCCTTCATCAAAAAGTCAAGAGAGGAAACCTCACCTTTCAAGGTGGAATTAAAGTGAATCTAGACAGAGATTATGGCCTTGAAGATTTTCGGTCAGTAACGATCATCCTTCTAACAATAACTGATTGTCACACAATCGTCTTTTGTCTACCACGATAATCTTTTTTAGTGTTTCATCAAATCTGCACAAGTTTACTCGATACAAATTAGTTTTCTTTAATCTCAGTCTGCCTTTCTTCTTCAAATAGTCTTTTATGTGGATTAGAATGTTGAAGCTTTCTATTCCTTCCATATTTATCTATGTATGCCCATACGTTTTTAACTCTGTCTTTTCTCTGCCTGTTAGTCAAAAGACTATGTAGTGTTCACCGCTTTCCTTATATCCTCGAAATTTAAGAATCAGCAAACGGAGACTATGATATTATATACAATAGTTCATGTTTACACTGATACATACACTGTTATTTTAAAACCCCTCATCTGTTTATTAACTTCCCTCTCTTTATGCATCCTCTTCTAATACAATTCTGTTAACTTTCCTGTCATTAATTTTCTATCCCTATTTTGCTTACAGACTTCTATGAACTGTACCACGATGATGCGATTCGCTATTTCGTCATGTTGGATTTTGACCACCCTATGTTGAATAGTAGTTGGTTAGTTAATAACAGTTGTGATGCTATATACTCTATTCCTCTATTGACTGTACAAAGTGATTGTTAATTGTGATTTGTTTGAGATTCGCACTTTCAATAGTATTTTCATTAAAAAGTAGAAAACTTCACTACATGCTACGTTTAGATTTCAATCGGTAGAAATTACTTACTTCTTCTAGTGACTAGATAGAAGTCTAATCGCTCCGTAATCCAAAAATCCAGTTAATGACCCCCCTTTCATTACCAGTACAATGAAATTCAATGATAATCAAGCTTTTTTGGCAAATAGTTTGTCTTTAACAACGTTTTTTCTCCGTGAAATGATAACAGTGAATTGTTTTGTCTTTTGGTTGACTAGATTAAAAATAGTCATCACTCATTGGTTTCACATCATCTAGACTTTAAGATTGTTACAGTCTCAACTTTCAAGAACATTCTTTTCCAGAAAAGTAGTGTCATACATGCCTGCAAATCAAATAAGATTAAAATGATATCAGATTCTAAACAGATATCAGTAATTATTTCAAACAAAGATTATTTACTAGCTATCCTTTTTATCCTAATAAATGGCTGACGTCAATCAAATGAAGGATTTGAATAACAAATAATTTACTATGCAATACTGTGAGTAAGTTTGAAAACTAGGTGGAATAAGTCTAACTGTTTAAAATACTTCTTATGTAATTCAACGGTAATTCTGTAATATAACATGATATCAAGGCTAATATACATCTATCGAAAGAAAGAAGAGGAAAAAGTGAATGCAATAAACAGTTTATAAGTGCGATTCTCTATATCCAAAGGTATGAACACCACAAAGATACTTGACTTGGTAGAAACACTGCAGGTGCACCATCAATCTTCTACCCTAACCAGTTGATTTCAAACACTTTAGGCAGACATTTAATAATAATGAGCTGGATCTTCCATGATTGTTATCTACTAACACGTGACACTGAATACATTGTACCACATTGTCTTTGCAGCAGGCTAAGTGGTTGCAAAACTGACATTGTTTATGAAGGTAGTTAGAGTCAGCAATACAACTGGTAGTCTCACCTTATCATTCCTTTGCGAATTCGTTGTCGAACACTGAAAGGAAGATGAGCGAAAGGATCAACTTCTGCATGACTCAACAAATCGAATGCCACTGCTGAATGGTGATTTTCCAACGGACTTTGATCGTTATATCGCATCGCCAATACCGTTCCAGCATTGATCTGAAATAGGAAAGAAATATCAGAGCAGGAAGCAATAGAAATAATTTCTACAAAACAATTTATCTTTAAATATGATTTTAAAAAACCACTTCAATCCCTATAGATTGTAAAATATAGGTGACATGAGAAAGTTATAGATATCTGACATGAAGTGAATGTCTAGACCAAAGAACAGTTAATTTTGACATCATTTGCCACATCGATTAAACTACCAGTCAACGGTAAAATGAAACTGTAGAGATAAATGTTTGTTACGGTAACTGTTTGGCCACTCCGGTGTTTTGGACTGATTTTAGAATGGTACAACCAAAGTTCGAAGTGTTCTTTCTTATAGACCTACTGATTCCCAGCTTGTCTCTTGAAAGGCAGCAAGTCTTCTAATTAGTTGTGGAGACTAATATTTAGATGAAGTTGATAGTATACTCAAGACCTTTAAATTTTAGACACATTTTGGACTTCTGGTTAACATTTCCAGATTAACTACTGAACTTTTCTCATTCACATTTCAGTAACGTTTCACTAGGCAATATGGCAGTACGACAGCTCAGCGATGTTATCACCAAAGGTTCTACTTTGACTCAACTTATCAGTTAATAACAGGTTGTTTAGAGTTTTACAGTTCTGTTTTCCATGTTTGGTTCTGGTAAGCCGATGATGTGGTTAACTTCTGCTGTGAGATATGTTTTAGTGAGACCGAAACATTTTTACGTCGAAATGTATTTTAGCGTATTCTTTGAGTTGGTAAATATTAGGAATATAAGTGCATCAATGGCTCCTGGTATGGTAAACAACTAATGTTCAGTGGTGATATGAAGTGAATTATTGGCCAAATAACAGAATTTTTTTAAATAATGACCTAATATTTTATGATGAACTAAAGCATTTAGGATTTTTATAAATAGTCGAATATCAGAATTTTTTTCGAAACATCTTCAGGAGTGTTAAATGGACATGTCTCAGTAGCAAGTTAATTGGTATGGTTTGAATAACGTGCAAATTTGGTAACTATAATACATTACAGTAATACTGTCACATGGTTATGTGTTTCTGCATGCGCCACTATTGGGATATATTGTGTCACTTACCTAAACTTTTGTTACGTCTATAAGTCACTGATATAACTGAACGCCGAATGGGATATTTACAGTCTTTCTTCTATATGCATCTGTGATAAGAATATAGAATTCATTAATTTCAGATTTCGCAAGCTGTCTTTCTGAATCTTTAATCGAGATCAAAAGTCCTCCACCATTTTTGATGAAATCTCCATTTATGCTCTCGGAATTACCTATTTATGAGATAACCTCTATTTATTTACAATCAGATTAAAATAACTATGTATGCAGTAATGTATAGTAATGAACGTATACCAAATACTTTTTATATGTTTGGATATCATTCCAGCTTAACCGCTTTACATTTACAGTGGAATTTTGTGAATACTAATCAGCTGATCACAGTTCACTAGTTCAATCGAAGTACAACACGCCTCACAGAATTCCAAACCTTTTTTTTTATTCATCTTTCTATCATAATACTTTTTAAAGAGCCCCAGAGGTAACTGTTACATTCATCAGTAGTCAACAAAATTTTAAAGTCCCAGTACGATTGATGTATACGGTTAAAAATCCTTTCGTCAAGCATTTAGTGAAAAAACTTAATATTTAAATATTTTCTCCCAGGTTATTCAAATAACAAAATGTGGCATTGCGATGATTTCAATGAGATTAGTAATGAAAGCTCTCATCTGATCAAATATTCGAAATTAGCATTAGACAGGTCATTTACAAACCAGTGATAGACGAGTAAAAGAGTTTCATAACCAAGATGAGATTTTACAACGAATAGATACCTGAAATAACCTAATGAAGTTCTACCTACCTATATTTGTTCAGAAATACTGCAATTTACTGATTCTGCGGGAAAAACCAGTTTGTATGGTGCGTACAGAATGAACGGATGTTCGTTCTCAAGCTTACTTGTTTTATAATGTGAAACCTTGTTTCATGGATGATTTGTCATTATCATTTGATGGCAACTATTTACGTTTTCTTCTAAAAAGGCTGTCACAGTTTTTAATTTCCCTTGGTATTATAGTTGTATACATATTTTGCAGTTGATCTAAGCATTTGTCTGAACATATTTGCAATGTGACTACCAATCTGGGAGATTTAACATGGCGGCACACATTGGTAGATATTAGTTTATTAAAGGCAACTGGTAGGAAGCCCTGGATCTAGGTTTCATGCTTGCTGGCACTCGTCAGTAAGACAAATCTGCAACCTCGACGGACCTGACATCCCACCTTAGATTCGGATTCACGTCGCCCGCGGCCCGAATAGCTCATTTGTAATGTCGTTGACTACAACACTATGAGACCTGGTTTTGAATCTCAGGCAGAACATTGGTTTTATCGAAGTTGCAGATAAGTCTCCCTACCGATCGCCTCGAACCAACTAACATTATCAGTTCCTTTCTTTAATCAGTTTGGATCCCTTTACCATCTTGAATGGTTGTGAATCTGCGTTTGGACATCATAGTGCAGCAAAGGATTATGAATGAATTTATTGTCTTAAGCTTGAAAATGTTTAAAGTTGTTTCTGAATAACAAATAAAATCTGAATATCTTATACTTAGCATAGAAGCAGCATTATGCTGAACCGGTGAGGCATCTGATGATGAGGTTTGTCGACAACGTACGCTAATAATAAGACAATTAAAGGAACTTCGTAAACGTATAACGGTATTAGAATGATTGCACTAAAATATTGTAGAAGTGACAGTTATACAATGATTGCCAAGACTGATGAAGGCAACTTAACATAAGTTATAGATAAAGTGAAGTACCTAAAGAAAGCTGATGTACACATCCTAACAGAATAGTATGAGGAGGTTGATAAACCTACATACACAATAATGAACAAAATTAGAATTTCTGTGACGGATCTGATGCATTAAATGAAGCCATTTCCAAGTTTATATTAACAGTTTGATTTAATGTCTAAAGCAAATATCCCCGTAAGGGTGTATGGTTTTACTGGGAATAATAAATCCTATTAGGTTATTAGTCCACTTCAGATGCATACCAACGTAACAGTTATCTAAATACTCAGATAAAACATTATATCCCATCCAAAACTTCCCGAATTCTGAGTTAGCTAATTCTTTTGAATTATAACGAACACTAAAGAATAATATTCATTTCCGGTAGTGACAACAGATAGCCAGCTTTGATGTGATGAGCCTCTATTTCAATATGCTGATAAGTATAGTACTTCCGACAGTAGAAACGAGTTCAACATTGGCCAAGAACTAGTTTATCATGCCAGAGTGTTGGAAGAAGGAAGCATTTCTAAGTTGCCGTTATTTTCACATCTAACAGTCTTCACACTTCAAGTTAGGGATAAACTAAGCAAGGATTTTCTAAATGACAATTAAAGACCTAATGTAGCAACTTTTTAATGCAAATAACAAACATTCCACTATAAGAAACAGTTTGTTCATAAATATCACGGAGATTTTTCACAGAATAATTGCTTTGTGGCTCGGTGGTCTAGTGGATAACGCTGTGGAGTCTCAAGCTATCGGTCTCGAGTAAAAATCCCGGTGGGAACAACACCACCCACTGGGTGACGAGTTCTAGGTAGGATGAAATGCACATTCTGAATTCCACTGCTAGCCACTATCCATCATTACTATATATAAGTGCTTAGCTTAAAAAACATGAATAAAGTGGGTGAATTAATCAACAATACATCTGTCTGGAACACAGGATGACTGGGATGAATTAAAAAAATAAACACACTGAAATATTCGAGCTTTAACCCGAAATTTAGGTTCTTTGACCCATGGAAATGTCGGAATTCGAAGACTGGACCATGACCGTGCGTATCACTCTATTATACTAAGTACATCATATATTCGTATACATTTTATGCTCACAGAGTTACAAAAGCAATACGATTACCAATTCCTTTCTAATCTTTTCGGCAAAACCTTCTAATAAAACCACGTTGATACCCAAGTAGTAATCAAGAAAATTCGAAGCTCATAAATGCCCAACTTAGATGCCAATGAACTGTAGGCTTGGTTCCTTTTTTCCTACCATCTGTTTGTTACGTAATCGTATCTCTTGTGACAAAACTGAAAAGACGAAACTGAATAGTATGACACAGTACGATTCAACACACCAATCTGGTACGTCATATAAACATTTCAAACACAACTTATTTCTCATAAGTGTGCTCGGATCGAATTCACTGAAGTTAATTCGCAGCATCTAAGAAAAGTTTGGCCATTTTTAGATCTGATTTAATATCATCAAAAGTATTTCTTGAGTGCTATTACTCAATAAAGTTTCTTACTTAGTCATTTAGAGTCTATCAGATTATTGTAAATCATCAAAAATTAAGCTCCGTATGAGGATAGTAATTCTTCGATGTTTGAGATTTTTTCTTAGACGCTTCTTCATCAGTCTAGGAGACTTCATGTGGATTTACGTCAGAAAGTAAGTGCTAATAAAGCCACCTATACTGGTTCTGAAACGTCCAAGAACAAACCTTAAAGCTCCTGGAACACCAAACAATTACCACACTTACTTCCCCTGAAACTACCTGTCACTAAGTGTTGGAGTCCCTATCACTATGTGAGCGAATTCTAAAAAGTGCTGAGGTCCATGTGTAAGGGATCAAAATTCATTTTATTAAAATTCTATCGATCAAGCATATCACAAAGATTGGCCTCAATTTCTGACGAAGAAGATGATAAACAATGCTAAATACTACGAACTAAAGACCTGAAGTACTCATCTGCCATGTATGCATGTTTTTCCAAAGGTACACAAACGTACCTATACAATTAAACCTATACTATTGGCTAGTGAAATAGTTAGGACCTTTCCAAATACACCCTTCACCATTCAATTCAGTCTGTTAAAATTCAAAACCAAAGGAATGTTTTAGGGATCTCTATAATCTGTTTCTTCACATAGGCCCTCCTCTGAAAAACTAATAAAGTTACACGCCTGCATCCTGATTTACATCCTTCGCCAGCGTCTGATTCTCAACAGCATCTGTCCAGTCAATCATAAACGAACATCAGTTAAAGTAATGTTGGATACAGTGGCAGTCCAGAAAGATCTGAGAAGAAACTGTAATCTGCAAAGATTTATCATCAAATACGATGGGATAATGAATCAAAAAGCCACAATAAACAAAAGGCCAGTTTTTATTAAACTCAATATTGTAGGTGACCATGTAGTAGAAACTGTGGACAGGAAATTTGCAAATGCACTGTTCAGAAGTCACTCTGCAGGTTGATAAATCCTCACGCTTGGAACAGCTTTTTCGATGTTACAGTTGATAATTGGAAGGCGTCCCTCTCACGTTGACTCTGACTGCATGTTTGAACTTATGTGTATCTGCTGAAGCAAGAAGATTAAAAAGAAAGAAAGAATGGCCCACCTATGATTTTTTGAACATGCTTCAAAACGTCACAATGTTGTTAACAGACACTCAACAGATGTAGGGCTCTAAGCGGATGCCCCGAAACCTTTCAAAATAACCATTAAGTAGAACATTCTCAGTCTTCTTCCTCTCAACGAAGCTGTGATAATTAAAAGGCCGAACGTAAATTACTGCGTTCGGAAGGAAACAACTGATAAACCATAATTACCCTGGTAAATCATACACCAAAACCTACTTATATTCAATGCATCATCGCTTATTATCTTCAGTAGTGGTTAATTTTGACTCAAATTTAGCTTCGATTTTAATCCGCTGAGCCAAGTTCGCCACACTTACTTTCTAAATTATTATTAGAATTACTAAATCATCTTTTAACGGGATATACTCATCTAAACTCTATTCTGAATCCTTCATATTCCTCTAGACATCCTTTCTCATTAGATGAGAATATTCAAATTATTATTACACGAAATTGTATCGCATTAAAATGCCTTTTCATCGTCAACTTTCTTTGCTTAGTCTTATTATGTTCTTAAAGTTGAGCGTACCTACCGACTGACTCCTTGTTAACGAACTCAAGTATGTTTAATTTACATTGTAATCTCGTATATGTTGTATAAGTTGTAAGCAACTGATGACGACATGGCAGGATGAAATGATTTTTTGCAATGTTTCTCATTTTGTTGTTCCCACACCTCAAAGTGAAGATGCACACTCATGAATTATATGGAAATGTGTTCGTGGGGCTTTACAATTTATTCTGGTATCTGAAAATTTTTGAAATGTCATAGGAACTACTTTTAAAAAAGAAAATGTATATTGTACGCGATAATCCTTGCGATATTTGCAAAATACCCACAATATAGATATTATATTAAGTCAGGACAGCAAGATGTATCATATTAGCAGGATTCAGTGAGATTTTATCACATGAATATTCATCGGATGTATAAAGCTTAATGCAAGGTAAAATCATGAAGTCTGAATTATTCTGGGAGATAAATTACACAACTTGTATTTGAAAACCATTGCTAATTTATACTTTATGTGATTTAGGGTCCAAGAATTGTATAGTGGAGGAAACGAATGTGAGGAAAGGAACAGCTAATACTAGCTAGTAGATTATGTAATACTGAAAGAATTGTCACTAGTAAGATTGACATCAACTCAGAAATTTGAAATCATTAGTCTATTAAAATGAAGAAACATGCAGTGATATGCTGCAGCTTGGTTTCCTTGAGGTCTTAATGAGTCGTGAACTTTGGGTCAATGTAGTCGGCAGTTTGGTGGGTGTGTATAAGTGTCATTGGGTGATAATCTCTGTATATCGTGAACTGACAGAAGTAGAAATAATTAATCATTAGATTACAGCCCAGTGGCTTGAACACGATCCACCTGCTAGGAGACTTGACTGTTCTCCTCTCAATCCTTCTCGGGGTCGTGGACATGCTCTTTTGAAGACTTCCATACATGAATAAAATAGTTATTCAGTGCCCCTATGTATTCTAGTGGTTGTCAAAGTAACTTCCCTCTATGATGAAGCCTACATTCAAACTCGTAAGTCGCTACAAGCCACTAGTCGAACCGTGTAACTGAAAAAGTACAAGGTGGAACCACAGTCATTATGGAAGTTTGAGATTTATCAGACTCTCCAGTGGTCCATGTTTCCAACTTCTGTCAGTTCACAACATAGAGGGACCATCACCCGATGTTATCGATGTATATTTGTCCTCGTGACCACCAGGTTTGCCACAACACTGGATTGGACCACTGAATTCTAACCCAGTGGCTGAATGTTAATGTAATGGCTACGGAACCAGGAGGTACTGGGTTTCGAACTCTGAAGAAGCAAGGTCATGGATACGCACTGCTGAGGAGTCCCAAACTAGGATGAAACAGCCGTCCAGTACCGCTATGTTTCGCCAATTGATGTCAGTCCTTGAAGAATATCAACTTGAAAAAATCACTTAATACCCATGAACCTCTAAATTCAAATAAAAACTTTTATTTCCTTAATATAAGTGTAAAACTTAGGCACTGTGGTTGAGTCCATTAGCTAATTACTTAATTCTTCCGACTTCCTGTTTTCCATATTTCATGACTGATAACAAAGGATATCTATTATCTGTGAGACACAATTCAGTATCAGTGAAGTAATTGAAAAAACTGATAACCGACCAGGGATAGCTGAATTTATCGAAAACTTTCAAGTTGTCTAACAATAAATTATAAAGGAACCTGTCCAAAAGCTATCTGAGTCACTTATTATAATAATCCATGTGGCTCTGAAGAGCTGCAACTATTCGATCAATATTTAACAGCATTTCTCAAAATGAACGTTTCAGGGAAAGTACATTGTTTACTAAACTCAATACTACTATATTTACTATTTGATAGCGTATACAAAGAATGGGTAAACGTGATTGACCAAAGTTCTCTTAAACAGATGTACTTCAGTTTTACAACATAATTTTGAAATATTTTTGTTTTCCTATTTTCATTTCATCATATCTATACCTGTATGAACTTTCAGCTAAAACTCGAAGATTATTTGGATATCCAATTATATTCTTCGAAATGGTTCGCAATTATGGGGCGTAACCTTTCTGTACTCTTTTATTCTGATAGTTTTAAAAAAGTAAAATAAATTAATACATCAGATAAAATTATATTTCATATTCCTTTTTTTATTTTGCCAAACAGATGCATTTAGCAGTTAGTTGAAAACTATATTTCTCTTAGAATAAAATATTTTTATTACACTCGTGTTAGGAGCAGCCGTTACACTTGTCATATCCATCTTTAAATTCAGTAGTTGAAAAACTACTTCATCCTTGGAATGCAGATATCAGTAAGTTGGAATACTTTCGTTGAAGAAAGTCAGGAAAGCAGGTAAAATGAAACTGAACAGATCCAACTGCATTCATACGTAATCTACTTCATTATCATTCGATCTGATAGCTTCCAAACAGCAAAAGTGAATCTCTCATGCCAAAATAAAAAGAAAATTATGTGGTTTTTCATTCATCTGTTTTATACATTCGTTTACCTATTTTCTATATTAAATGGTCAGAATCAGAGTCAAACATATTACTTACGATTATTTATTTTAATACCTTCTGATGGTTGTCTATCACCGAATGGATTATTTGATTTTATTGCCAGTATTCGAGAGTCAATTGATCTGAGTACACAAACATTGAATTGGGCTTTGAAAAGCAATATAGAACAAAATTTGATCCCACTATCAGAATGTAAATTAACAAAGAAACATTTAATGTCATGCTGTCAACACACTCAAAAGCTCAAGAACTCGCCAAAATAACAAAATCAAACAGTATTTACTATAATGTAATTGTAGGACCTTATGATCCAGGTTTATGTGGACAAATGAATCAAATAGTCTTGATTCCTTATTTAGATTGCATGAAACCCCGTAGCACTTTTGTTTATCATATTAATTTTCAGTGTCCATTCAGACAGATAACCTATCAATCTCAGTTATTACCTAGTACAACACCTTATTGCTATAATACAAGTCAGTATTATGAAGATTTTACAAATGTTGGCAGTTTATATGTTGGCGCAAATAAATATCAAATAACAACTGCCTTGACAAAAATTTTGAGACATTTAAACAGACTAAATATTGTATTGATATATCAGGATGATGACCATGTAACCGATGCTTCAGGGATCTTTGCAAATTATGTAGCATATCTATTAATCCAGAGAAAAGAATTTGGTATTTCGGTAAAAGAAATTAATGGATGGCATTTAGGCAAAGATGTTTCAAATGTTTTCCCAGTAGGAGGTGTAAACATTTCTGGTAAGCATTGTCACCTTGTTATTCAACATGTCTTAAGGATTTTCTTGATATGTTCCACACAGTTTATGTCATTTGTCTACAACTAACTAATACCCATCGAAGTGCACTATGCTGTTGAGACTCCTAGCTTGATTGCCACATTGTGAAGTGACTGACAGCATTCAATGAGCGATCGCGACTAGACAACCCGGAATTGACCAATCAATGTATAAGTGTAATTTGCTTCGAAACTATTTTATCGTTCCAAGGACTATCACTTAATGAGTAATAATATAGTAACCAACTTTGAAGAAGATTTTCTAGATTTCCAAGGGAAAACCTAAACCTTAAAATTAATTCAAATCGGCATTGAAGATCAAAGTAAATCGATGGTTTTGTATGGCTTCTATGCTACAATTAAAATTGAAAGTAGTCAGAAATATTAATCACTAGATGATAACGTATCTGTTGGATGGTAACATACATATTCCAGACCTTGCATTTCTGGGTTCCATCATACATATGGGTTGCTAATGCATTTTTGATGAGCTATAAGCTACTAAAAACTCCCTATTTGGCTAGAGTATATACTTATTTTATTCAGGAAATATAACAGATGTGTGGAGTGTACGGTGATTAAAATTTGTAAATGTCTAGAAAATGTAGATTTTCAATCCAAAAGAACACTATTCAATGAGTAACAATAGAAATATAAATAGTTTTGAAAAGGATAAGTGAATCTTTTTGACTAAGTTTTTGATAATATCTTGAAAGTATTTCTAAATTTTGAAATCTACTGGTCATAAGAAAAAGACAACCATTTATTATGCTAAAACTAGAGTGATATTCAGTAAAGTTTAAACATTAATCACTCAGGAAGGCAAATGTTAGAAGCTGGTAACCGGCAAAACTCAAACATGTGTATTTAGGTATTTGAAAGTCCTCTTCTTACTCTTTCATTAAGAATAAAACGTCATCAAGTAAATAATACTAGATCACTGTGGGTTATAAATCAAATAAACAAATCTAATATGAAATTAAATCCTACCACAGAGCCCAAGTATTACACCTATATTAATACTTAGACTGACTTATTCGAAATCTCATCTCATGTACTGATTATAGTTAGGTCACCCACATTTATAAACTTCAGAATATGATATGTTGCATGAATTTTCTTCATTATATCACATTTATTGTACCCGGAGATTTCTACATTAAATGGTACTACTATTCAGCTTTCTGTTCCAACTTTTATAGTCATCATATTAGCCTTAGACCAGTTGTTTGCACCGAAACTGTCTCACACATTTGCACCTCGACACAATTAATCACTAAGTAATCATTTTTATTCTGGTTTACCTTACAAATGTGTTAACGAATCCTTAAGAGCCATCTCCCTGGAGCCCTATAAATGGGATGTCATCTTCGTGGAGGTAACTGAAAGTCCACGGCTACTAAGTGGATTCTACGTAATTTTTTTAAACACCTATTGACATCATCATTAATTACTATTCTTGCTTATCAAAACAACACTGAATAGAAACTAGATTTACCATCAAGTCTAAACTCTTATGAAAACGATATTACTGAAAAAGCAATATTCTTGAAGTATCAGTCGAAGAACCAGTAGGACAGAATCCGTTCAACGATAGTTATTGTGATGTTGTTTTCGAAAGTAGTTAATTAATTCTTATAAAAAACAAAAACCTTTTATGTAAATGAAGATAAAAGTTGGCGTCGAAACAATGTTTATCTGGTACATGTTCAGTTCTCATTCACAAAGAATTTTCGGTTAGTCATGTGACACCCAGTTTAAAAATTAAATTTCACAAAACAGTAACCGAAGGTAATCCTAAGTTAGGTCAATATTTTCAAGTACCTACAAATTGTGGTAATTCTTAATCTATGCAACTGAAAGATGAATCCTAATCTTCATTTCAGACAAACTTTATAACGTTTTAGTTCTAAAACCCAGAAATTAAGTGAGGTAACAGAACTTCACAGGATATTGCTCATATGTCAGTAGCATCTTACCATTATAACCAATCCGTTGAACAAACTAGAAATAAATATAGAGAGATAATAGGATTGTGGCGAAATGTTCAGCATTCCAATAAGTTTCGAGACCGACTCAGCCAGCTATATTTACATCTAGATAATAAAGAGTAAGAACGTAATTTCAGCCATCTTAATACTCTTTCTGAGAGACATCTTCATTAGTTTTTCAAAGGTTGAATATGTAAATATTTATAGTTAATAAAATGTGCTTTATTGGCATCACTTCATTCCCTGAACTCCTACACAGTAACTGAATAGCTAACGCGTTCGCCGCAAGACTTGAAGGTTTTGATTTCGATCTCTGGAGGGGTCTGGGGTCCATACTCGTGAAGACTTTCATACGGGGATGAAACAGCTGTCTGGTGCTTCCAGATTTACAGTGGTTTTCCAACTGCTGTCCATGATGTATACAACTTAAAAATCAAATCCTCACAAATTTTAAACTGTATGAATAAAGTATGTTTTACACACCTAGGATAATAATTTATTTATCTTCTATGTCAATTAACTTGCGTGTAACTTTGCCAATTCTCTCGGTGTAGTTTACGGCCAAATTCACTTTAACTAAGAATTAAAAATGGTAATGAAGTCTATAATTTCGTAAATCCTTTAAAATGCTGCATGATATTCGAGATTAGTAATCCCTCAGTTTCGGCAGTGTTATCAAAACCAACGAAACCCTAATTAAGGTTTGATGTTTACTTGAAAACTCAACGATGTATGCATTTTAAATTTCAAGGGTATCCTTTCCTGCTGGTCTTCAGCAGAAGGAGTTTTACAACTTTTCAGTACTCTTTTATCGAATGGCTTACAATATGGAAAGCAACTTAAGCAAACTACAATTTAGTGAGATCGTTCACCGAAATATGTTACAGGGATTAACTGAAAGAAAATTGATGACTCAGAACTTTATTCAGAACCATGACTAGAAAATTTCATATTTATAGACGGTTTTATTAAAGACAGTAACAATACTATGTAAAAAGTTAATTTGATCTCATTTATATCCATCACTGCATATTTTTAGAATGTCACAAAACTGATAGAATATGTTTAGATCAACAGGAATAAAACACTACAGGAATAATTTGACTGTATTTTTAGTCTATGGTTAAAATTTGGTTGATAGGTAAAACGTAATTGTTAACATTCAGTGTTATTTGGTTCGAAAATCTATCTTAAAACCACATATATCAGGATGCCATACATCGCAAAAACTTGGCATGTACTCACTCACACGGTGATAAGTGCAGTTGAGAACGATCACCACAAATCAACATTTTGTAACAAGATCAACGTGAATTTAGTCATTTAGCCAACTTAATACCAATGTACTTAAGCAGCTTGTGAGGTAAGTCGTAGACGTCTAAAAAGCTAACACGTAGTCTAAATCTCCGTTATGTATCTAGTTAGATAATTTGATTGGTGTGATCAGTCATCAGATAGCTGCGCCAAATTCAAAATTAATGCTACCACTTTCTTCAACTTTCACTGAGTTTTAATCTTTTCTTGAGATTTCATTATCATAAAAGCCTTCGTCTAAAAGAATGCGCCTAATTTGCTTCCGATTTAGGATAAAAATCCTAAGCATCATATCTAAATATTGTTAGATAAAATTAATATACAGAACACAAAGGTTTTGAATATAGTATGAAGGACATTTGAACGTGATTCGACTTTATAGCAGTTTTCCAATTCATTTCCTCAAGTTCACTCACATGTGCAAATATTTTACAGTAACATTTTTACGTTTATATAAGTTTAACGTTGACCTGGTAGCTTTCTTTCCTAGAGAAATAATGCTTCTTCTACTGACCTGAAATTATTTGGTCGACGACATAAACAGGGAAGCAACTGGCACAAAGTCAAAGCTTCTGTTACTTAGATGCTTTTGAAGAATTATGTAATAAAATAATCTGTATGCACACATATATTTCACGATTTCATTTAGTAACTCACTATGGATGGAAACGATGAACTACGGAGACCAGAGTACTGTGGCTTATTGTTTGAATCAGATAGACTGGATAAAGCTTCATTACTCCCAGATTAATTGTTAATTAAGCAAAAAATTTGGCAACATCCATGACAGTCAGGAAGACACGAAGGAGTAGAAGTAGTAGAGTCCCAACAGAGGTTATAATGATGAATGATTAAAACGTTGACCACATCTGAGTAGATCACCTCATTACAAACATTCAGACCATAGTTGTTTCTAAGGTCCCGGAGGAAGTTGATCCTTTCAAGTTTGAAATGAGGAAACTGTAATGTTGAGTTCAACAGATTTGTTACATTGAAGTAGTTCTCATTTGTAACACTTATGAATCTAACAAAATTTGATTTTCTATAAATTATCAACTACACAGGAAAAGAAACGATTTCATTATTAATTTCTAAGAAGAAATCAGTCTATTAGTTAAAAATTCAAAAACAGTTCAACTGAAATTTTTTGCCACTAATTTGAACTTTATAGGCTTTGGTTGGTATCTTTAAATAAACTTGATGCATAAAGCTACTGTCTGACAAGAATATTTCTGTTCACAATGAAATCGAGTGTCATTATTAACCAAGGTTCAACATGCAGTCAAATTTCTCATTTGAATTTAGCACCTGTTTTCACATACATGTGGCATGTCATTCAGAGGTGCCTTGATTTTGTAGCTTCGTATCAGACAATCATAGATGATTTTAGAAAATGTAATTTCTGACTTTATAACAGGAGCTCGGCAATCTTTTGGCTGCTATCTTAACCATTCCTAATTTCCAGAATTTGTTAAAATCTGTTTCACAATGAGCTAGATGAGACCTAATTCAAATCGGAAACACTCCTATCAACGAAAAAATGTAAAGTTCAATGCAGTCTGATCATGGTATGTTTTAGGGAAAAATAGGTTCTTTCTCTTTTTATCACTTTGTATGACAGATTCCTCGTTAAACAAATGTTTTGTGTACACACTTATGGTTTTGGGAAGTAAAAAAACCTGAATGACGATAGGTTAAAACCAAGAGTTTCCTTTATTTGGATTCTTACAATCGCTTTACTGTTTTATAACTTTGTGTGGCAGTAATATTAGTTAGTTCGGCACCCAAAATTTTAAAAGTTATTGTATCATTCACCATTGCAGTACGTTTAAGTCCCGAGTATGAACATCATCACAAGCACAGACAATAGTACGTCCGATTGAAAAATGTGCTAGATTTTACTCGAATTAACTCGAAAATCAATCCATGGCCTCAGTTTTTCATTCTAATTTGAATATATTTCAATCTTTGCAGACTGCTCACCGTCCTTGCAGTCCATTTAATTATCTGGGTATGGCTAGCTGTATTTTGCTACTAGTATATCATTAGTTATATAAAGAGAAAATCCTTCTTTGTAAGTGATTTGACAAAGAAATTTTCGATATACAGTTTGCCTAATCGTTCAAATACTGTTTAAAAATGGAACGAAGCAAATAATTAACAATCCGATTTAACTGTTTACAGGTTTTCTGACCGTACATAAAATATATCATCTTAGAATGTCTAATAGTAACTAGACATGCTTAACACACATCCCACCCAGCTACCTGGATCGATAGAGGTTCACAGCCTCACCAGCTGATATTCCTTTTCTTCTTAAAACTCTATATCAGACTTCTGCATTACTGACATTGTGACACCGTGAAACATGGCTTAAACTGGAAGCAAACTATAGTCCAACAGCTGTCCTATCCTCTACCTCCAGCGAATTTGTTTCACAACTATATAGTGGAACAAAGCAAACTGCAACGCAGTACCTTTAATAGGTAATAGGATATCACCGGGGCTCTATAGATGACGTAAGTTGGTGAAGGCCAAACCGGCACTTTGTATCCTTGCAGAGATTTCGTTGACCACTGACCCACCAGAACTGATCGGACTTCCAGTGATCAACGTAGTAAACTATTTTACACCCCGCTGTTTGACAGGACACCAGTCCTTGAGCAACATTTTCACCCTGATGGCAAGAAACGCACCGCAAGCATTCGTAAACTGCCACTTAAAGTGTCTGAAGACTCTGAATCTTGTCAGGGTTATCATCTAACAGGACGATGCCATTCGTCTACTCTGGTCCTACCAAAGATTCCACAGTGACAGGATCAACCGCAGTAAGATAAGACAATCAGAGGTAGACCTTCTGGAATAGAGAAAATAGATATCTCTGACGAACACTGCTCCATAAACACAACTCAGCTGATACTACTTTACATGGTTTCTAACACGCCTGCAGGTGTTCGAATAAAAGGCATTCAACAGAGAGGTCTATCTACCTGGCACCTCTTTCAGTGAGAGATACTACTTACTATAAGACATCCCGGCGGATAAAAAGGGAATATTTCACTTGATTTAAAATTATCAAAAGTAGTTACTTAAGATGAAGTAACACTAAAGTCATATTTTTGAGAAAGATCTTTCATCAAAGCATCCACAGTGACGATAAATACATGGAATTTATCGTTACCCTCACGGCATTCATAACATTGTAAATAAGATGACTTTAAATAACCTTATTATTAGTTACTTACTGTGTTGTGCTAGCAATGCAGTTATGTAAATCTAATTATTGACAGGTGAAAAGAAAAAACAATATGGTCAATAAGTATTATTACTCATCATATAGTCTGTTTTCTAGTAAATAACAGTATTTATCAGCGCGTATCTTTGATGAGTTGTTAGTGCACAAGCTGAGCAAATTATCAGGAATATAGAAAATTAGTCATACCAAATTTAGTCATTAGGCTTAACAAAGTTCAAACCACCAAGCTGACTACATCAGACAGATGAGGAACTGTATCCACCCAGGGTTTTTGAAAACTATGCATACACTCTTAATAAATATATATGTGTTCATCTTGGTATATTATTAAATAAGGATTTACTGGTTGGAGATGAATAACCTGTAACATTTGTAATATTCCATGGTTCATGTCATCACCTAATGCAGGTATAAAGACACTGACTAACTGATGACACTGAATGGTTTTCACTTCCAAATCATGAATTCATTAATAAATGGAAAGCTAGATAGTTGAATTGCAGACTTGTGGTTGAATAATAACGTGCACACAGAGAAATCTGATGACCCTGGTTTCTTTCTCAATACAGAATATTGGGTGAATACTGATAAAAAATCCGAAGCTAACATGAAACAGTTGTTTCGTGATTGCTGAATTTTAGCTCCTATCCTCTAAATGATTTGGATTCACTGTATAAACCGTTTTAAAATCAATCAATTTTCCATCAGCCTTCATAAAGAATAGTCATCTTAGAAGTTTAATTGGAAATAGATCTTTCCTGAAATCAGATTGACATAACACTTAATTTGTGAGAATTACCAGGAAAATCGTTAGAATAATTATTTAACTGTAATTACACTAATTTATAAAACGGACGACTGCTTCATGTTAGCTGTTTTCTACTACTCAGGTGTGGGAGTTTTGTCAACGATGTCTTGCTCATCACATTTTGCTTTCTACGTTTTGCCTCTTGAAAACAAGTCATAAAGCAACTTTTGTAGAATTAGGGATCCTACGTCATTCAGGACTCCGAGCATGCAGGTTCACGTAGACCCTTGTAAACCTAATATTCCAATATATTTCCCCCAATTAATAGGAGCACTCTTCAAGAGCCTTCAATGACACTAATTCAACTGTGCTGAACCACTTCATTCTAAATAGAAGTAATTAAGTAACAAAAACGATTGGATTAGACGACTGGATTCTGACCCAGTGGCTCAATGGTAACGTGCTGGCCACGGAACATGAAGGTCACTGGCTGGATCCCTATCGGGGTCACGGGTGCGCACTGCTGAGGAGTCCCATACCAAGACGAAACAGCTGTCCAGTGCTCCCTGGTTCCCTTTGTTCCTATAACTGATGTCAGTCTACGATGAACAACAACTTGAAAAACTTAACATTCACTTCAGAACAATACCTTTTTAACAATCGTATAATATAAGATATTGTACAGCATTATTAGACTCTGTTCTTCCACAAGCAAACAGCAATGTAAATGACCAGTCTGTATGTATAAAATTAACGTAGTTTGCATATTACTTTTGATGAGATCAGGATGCAACGATAGATAGATGATATAATTATTTTAGGTAACAGTTACTTATATAACTTCAATCTGTTATACATTTTCATTCAAATGTTTTCATCCAACCCTATTGCTTTGTTTAACTTCCCCAGCTTGTATTGTGATTGCCCAACTTTCACTCTACTCTGAACTACTCAGTAACATTTATCAATGGAATCCAAATATCCTGAAAACAGTTATGTTTATAGCCTATGATATGACTTTATTCTCATATGACGTTCTTAGAGTATGGAAAAGTCATGCGCAAAATGATGTCAACTCTACAATGAGTTCAGCGTTTGTATTAACACCTCATCCATACGGTTCCAAACTACAATTAAGTGACAATTATTTAAACCAGGTAGGATAAATCAAATATCATCTTCATAATTTTGTTTGCTTTTCTTATACAGAAAGTCATTCTGCAGTTTATTCTATAACCTATTTGAACAGTACTGTTAGGAAGTAGTAAATTAAATAATTGACTTCATTAATACATAAAAGATAACTAAATGGAATTCTTCGTGTACTACTACACAGCCCATGGAAATCTTTATTTTACAGCTTCTGTTGTGAAAAATAAACAATGTAAACATTTTGAAGATGGAACCAGCTATCGAAAGCAGAAATATGTTACACATCTACAAAGAAGCAGCCAGTTTGATAAATATGCAAGGAAGTGGTACACAGATTACAGTTACTTTCATTTAAGCTGAATGTACAGGTCGCGATCAGTATATAAAAAACGGATTCCTCAGTGAAAATGAGCATAATAGTTTCCCAGTATTCCACGAGAACAGCTATTTCACGTTCAAGTTTTCACAATCCAGCCGATACGTGTGACTACTTTCACTTTAAAAATAACTGTAGGTTTTTCATAGACAACTAAGAAAGTCATGGTTTTCGCATAAGTCTTAGCAGACAAAATCAGCCGTACATAATATAAAGGCTAATTAGAGGAAACCAGGAGAAATTTAACTTAAATGTCTAGTCAAAAGCGTGATAAATGATAGTAATGAATGCCTGTTTAAAGGCAAATTCTTGCTTGTTTTCACATTAATTACAAGTCAGTGAATAGGAATAAGGAAAATAACCATATATACTTGACAAAAATTTCAAACGTTTGTTTCAGCGAACTGCCATAATGCAGCACTTGTGTAACAATAACGTCCACTGAAATATAAGAAGATATTGGTTAATAAATTTGGATCTCCTAAAAAATTCTCACAAAGCAAACGGTACTAGATTTGCCAAACAGAATGATGTCGTTTTGCTGCAGAGGCATTCATCAGCTGCATACAACTTAAAATTACAACGAATATTAGGACGAAATTATTTAGTCATACCAATCGACCACACAAAGTAATCTAAAGTTGCGAGTAGACAACATGAGATTGGTTACTGTTCAGAGATCAGTCACTTAGTTTAATCCTGATGAGCAGGAAGTCAGTCGCTCCCAAGATAGCCCACTAATAAGATCCCTGACGAAATCACTAGGTGACTTAGAGGTGAGTCTCTAATATACCAACAATTTCTTCAAGTCTGGAGATACAAATCTATGAAAAGTGTAGACAACCGAAAAGTCTAGTTCCATCGCCATCCACCAGTCGCCTCCGACCGCGTGATAATTGTGTAATTTTTCATATAACTGAGTTAACGTTGTGTAGGTGATGTAAATTTTATGGATGACACTTCTTCGCATGTCACATAATCTGTAAACAAGTATACCTTGTAACTTTTCTTACATTTCTCACATCTTCTCCACAGTTCAAGAACCTCGCGTTAGTCCGCAAACAAATTAAAAATGATGGAAATTTTTAACCATGAAACATGAGGATTCCGGGTTAGGACCCTGCCAGAGTCGTGAATGTACACTGTTGAAGAGGCTTCATGCTACGATGAAACCAGTCTCTAGAGGAACCAAGTTTTCAGTGGTTCTCCAAATGATGTTAGTTCATGATGAATATCACTTTGAAAGTAAGAAGGATTTCGATGTACAAATTCTGAATTTCTGCCTTCGCAGTACTTCAGATACCCATTATTTGACACTACTTATAGTATGAATTATTATACTATAGTTTAAAGTATGTGATTACTTACTTTTGTTCTAATGATCATTGTGGTTTCAAACTCAGCTGATGGATATTCGTGGAACACAATCAAAATCGTATTCATTGCCGACGAAATTTAGTCATCCAATAGTACTTAATATTTCACATACAATATGAGTTATTACACAATTGAAAAACGAATAGAATGCGATGTACAAGATTTACTACCACTCCTTTTTAAAACGATGAGGGAAATTCCCTAAACCAACAGGTGCTTTTTACTGATCTTTCCGCGACTACTTTGTTTTATAAGTTAAAAAATGTTCACACTAGATTTACGGGAGACTTATCAAAATCGTCTTTATCTTGAGGTGTAAGTTTCTGAAATAGAAAGCCTAACACACAGTGATCAAGTCGGCAATTGATAGGATGTAACTACACTTTACAAGTGCTAATGGACTAAAGAAAAACAGCTGTAAACCTGAAGATTCACTGACTGAAATACAGGAAGAAGTGCCTGAAGTATCTCAATTTCTAAGTAGGTGGTGCACTTCACTATGCACAAAGATTAACTCCTTGTTAGATAAGAATGACAGAAAAGAACTGCATGTTCCTTCATCAAATTTGAGTCGAAGCGTATATTGCATACATAAGCGATCAATTATTGTTTAAAACTGTGACTTATGGAGAATAACTGTCAAAAACAGTCATTAACGACGTCCTATAATGTGACTTTCTGGATAAAGTCTTATGCCCTGAAGTGTGGTGGGTCCTAGAAAAGCAAGATGCTAATAACTAAGTGTACTCTTGAAAGTTTCAGCAACTTTTGCCGAAAACAGTAAAATTGTGAACGGGTGTACACTAGGGGTCACAATAATATTTGCTTTGTCAAAAAAATGTAACGTCGAAAGTCATTAAAACTAGTGGTAAGTCAAAGTAATGGAAGGAACCATCTACAATGACCTATACTAACATGTAATATTGTGTAAATGACCATCTCATTGCTATTGTAGAACCTTGTGTATCTCTCATCGATGATCTTTTATCTCTTCATATACATTGCACAGAAAGATTATTTAGCAATGAAATTAACTTTGGGTATGGCAATAAGCAATTTTAAACATCATGTACAACAGCAGCAACAACGAACTAGTCAAGTACAAGGTGAAGATGGATTCTATGCATCACTGAAGAATACAACACTGAAAATTCCAGTTAGATCAGATTTAAGTGTAGCTGTCACATTCAATGAATATCCAGAAACAAGTCAAGCTGCTTTAGATTTTCACCTTATCACTACTTATACATGCAGTGAAAATACAGTTAATGCTACTGTCGAAAACGTTACTACATGCCTACAAGTCTATTCAACAATGACATGGCCAGATTACAATGTGAGTAGTACACTCCTAGGAAACAGTTGGCAGTTGGCCGCAATACTACAACAAAGTGCAGATATCACAGAATGTGTTCCAAGTACGTTATGTTTGAACATTTTTCTATTCTATACTTACCGACTAATTTTATATAAAGATAGCAAACATATATTGCTGGGACGGAGCAGTCCGAACAGTTTCATTATAATCATTTTGCTTTCTAATGGCATTTTCATTTGCATACACTTATACGTACTAATTCAAAGGAAAACTACTTCTATTAGTCAGAAGTATTTCTTCTCGAATTTCCTGTCTGCTAAGTTTAATATGTAGTCATGACGATAACGCACATCAGGCAGTTTACCTATAAATTAAAATAATACGCCCGATCTCTTCTGTTTATCACTGTAAAGATGAATTTTTAAGTGAAAAAAAGCTTGTTTAGGCTATTCAGTGTGAAACAGAATTCTATGAAAGACTCTGAAACAGGGTATGCTTCCAAAGTGATAGCATCTTGAGCAACAAAACTGCAAAATTGAAAACCGAAACACAATAAAGTATTCCATATGGCGTTCGCTTTTCAAGTCATCATGTTAGCTGACTTTATTGCATGTATACCATGATTAAGAAGCTATCAGAATACGTTGTATACTTAAGCGGAGATATGCCTTGTCATTTTTAAGGATATGTAAAAGGTTTTACCTACAAAAGATGGTTTTTACACCAATAAAGAATTGTCATAATTCCGGGTGAATTATATTTCCCAGTCAACTTATGCAAGATTAGATCATAAAGGGACTATTGGAGTTTAAAGTTAAAACACCAAGTTTAACTGGCATAGAGTATTTCTTTATTCTTTGAAGTCAGCTGTACTATAATACTTACTACTGACTTATTACTGTACCCACATTAGCTTTCTACCTCTTTTCTGATTGTTCATAACTTCGACAGCAAAGCGTTGTATCTGTCGTCAATTTCACGATTCAAATTATTGTGAGACTGCCTAATAGCGTTACAAACTATATCTTTATCCACTTTATCATACCCAGTAGATTTACACTGTAGTCTTTGAAGCAACAGTAAAAGTAAACGACAAGTTTAATTCAGTTCTTGTATTAATTTAAATGTCATGATATTCCCGTCACTTTTAATTTTCCCATCAAATTTTGAACTGAGATTAACTGTTTTAAATTTCACACTTTTAACTGGAACTTTATTAAATTACAACGGTTACGCAGTGGCACTGGCTGCCGATAGTATTTGGTACTAGGTTATTCATAGTAAAACTGCATATTTTAAGACTTTAGAACTATATTTCTTCTTGCTGAAATCTGTGAAGGACGATTTTCCGACTAACATTTAGTGTTGGTGCAATGACGCACACGTATGCACCTGGCGAGTTTCAATTTTTTGGAATAATTTGATTTAAACGCAATGAGTAAGTTAACTTTAACAAATATCCAGAACAAGAGGGTGTATCTGTTGAGTATGTCATATCCCTATAAATTGTATAAATTTATCTTATGAAGAAAGTGAATCATCTTATACTCACCTTTTCTCGCTCCACGTGCATCCCTCAATTTAACCACTTTTAGGAACCCTGTTACCATATCAGTTAACCCTCATCTTTTAACATGATATTTCGTCTAAACGCTCCAAGGGTGCACGCATTGTATTGAAACGCAAGATTTGTCTCCCTGTATGGATACCCTCCAATTTTCGACTGAACTAATATTTTCTTCTTTTTGTGTCAGCTGAGTCCTGTGTCAAGCTCCGTGTCGTTCATCTAGCTACTAGATTTCCTCGTCCTGAGTTAACCGTATCCGACAATCTCATTGGCAGATTATCACAAACATAGAGTATTTCTATAAACTGAAATTAAACCATAATCAGAAGTTATACTTCACAAAGTGATGACTGAATTACACGTGGTTTTTGTGCAACTGGTAATAGTTTTCAACAACTCTAATTTCAATGCGTAAAAATATTTAAAAAATTGAGCTTTCAAGAAAGGTATAAAAAGACATCAGCTTCTTCAGGATGACAAAGGAGAGTTAACCGAAGAGTTGCCTAGATTAGCCCAGTGGACGCCCATTTTCATTTCAATAAAATAAATCTCTTTTCGGGAACTAAATTAAGAAGTAATCAATTTACTTGAGAACTAACCTACGATTTCAGTATCATTAGTGTCATCAAGTTCTCTTCAAAAAAACTGTGACCAGGTTGGTTTTTTCATACGGATTCGTCGACTGAAAGAGACGTTTTGTTGTGCTACCTGTCACCTTTCACAATACTAAGTGAAACCTAATGTTTGAGATCCTCAAGCAGTATCTGACGCGTATAACTCTACTGCTATAATGAAGTGAGGACAGGAAGGAATGAGACAAGGTTGCCGCCTACCATCATCAACGATGATCTTCCTGATTATGGTCGACTCAACTGGGTCATGCAAGAAGCTGTGAGGAGCGAGGAGATGGTCATACACTGTTTGACTGATGAAAAGACCTTGAAAGATTTGAATTCCGCTGACGATTTATATGTAATGTCACAAAAACTCGAAGACCTAAAGGCAAAAACCAACAAGTTGACAGGAGAGGCAGCAAAGACGGGACTTCAAGTTAACGCAAAGACAGAGGTGATGAAGATACCTAACTAACAACAACAAGCACCAATCAACACCATCGAGAGAAATCTAAAAGAAGTTGTCTCTTTCACCTGCATACCTAAGCAGGGCGACATCGTTTCAACTAGAGGCGGCACCGACGAGGATGTCAAAACCAAGATCGGAAAGACAGCGAAATAGGCCTTCATCAATCTCAAGTCAATGTGAAGATCTACTGCAGTCAGCATAAATTGTGAACAACATCCGAATTTTCAACACTAATGTCAGTCAAATCAGTGCTTCCATGTGACGCTTCAGAGACTTAGTGAGTTACGAAAAGCATTTACAACAAACTTCAGACATCATACATCAACAGCTACCACCTACGCTCGATACTGAAGATTAGATGGCCAGAATAATAGGAATAAGCAACAAGAAACTCTGGTCTCGTGATGAACCAACCAAGAATCCATCGCCAAACAAATATGTAGAAGTGGGGATGTATTGGGCATACACTGAGAAGATGGTTTCGGGACATCACATGCCAGACCAGGTCGTCTAGTGAATTCAGATGGGAAACGACGAGTTGGGCATCCGAAGGGTGATATGGAGATGGTGTGAGGAAGAAATGAAAGCTTGGAGCCAGGTTGAGCAGATTGTAGAGAAGAGAGTGAAATGGCGACGTGATACTGGAGCCCAATGTTCCACTAGGAACCAAGGACAAATAATGGTAATATGATGATATATATTTACATACATAAAGGAAATGTGCACTGCAATTCTTGTGCATTAGCTATTCTGAGAAAATCTTTATGACATGAATGGTAAAAACAACGAGTCATTAGCGAAAGATATTCATTAAACTATTTTTTTGTGACTTATAATGAAGTTTTGTGTAAGGCTGGTACTTACTAATCAACCCAGTAATGAAAGTTATTGTAAGGTATTTGTAATTAAACATAATAGTAGCAAGCGAAAAGTAAGTAACGAAATCTTTGATAATTACCCAACCAACAAATAGTAATTTTTTAAAACGTTTTGATCTTCTGTTCTAACCAATTATCACATACCAGTTAAAGCAAAATTGATTCTACATTGAGTTACAACACCCAATTCCTACTTTTCTGAGGTCTCATATCGCAGGTTTCGGTATCCAAAGTGTTTTTCAGTTAGACCCATTTATTCAGAGAATTCAACTTTGAAAGATGTTAAGTTCTTTTGGAAGAATATAAATTCAACAAAATGCTATGCATCTGAAGTAACCACATTGCACTGTGAAGTAGAAAAAGCAATTGCCTCTATTATAATTGTAGTCTATCAATGAAGAAATTATATGACTAACTTCTTCATGAGATATCCAATATTTTATTCCTGGATATATCTGCATTTACCTTTTTTAAGATGTTTGTAGAAAGTCTATTTACCACAACTTAACTATCAACATACTATATTGGTCTTCACCTCTAAAAACCCCTTGATTTACTTAGTTTCCAAACAAAAATCTAAATATACTAAGTGATATGAAATTAAATAAAAGTAGGCACAACCAAATAAAAACTTCAAAAAGTTTTTTGTCAAAATTTAATGTCATGCTGCAGTGAACAACATCTCCGCTGATACCGAATCCAAGATATTCTAAGAGCTGTTGTTTTTATTAACATCCACGCCACAGTTGTTACGAATGTTCTGAAAGAAGTTGGGAAATATCTTGTTTTTATTTTTTAAACACGGGTTTATATATAATCTTACTTCCATAAAGCTTTTATTTCTTCTGAATGAAATCATCCATAATTTTACAGTTTCTCATAACTTGACAAGAAGAGGAATTTGAAGAAGGTATCATTTCTCATTTCACGAGATATTATATGTCTTAAGAAACCTCAGTGGTAGTGAAGTTATTAAAATGCTAATCAAGCTACTTATCTGATAATGTCTTAAATTTTAGATTATACTTTAGACATTCGAAAAATTGCTATTTCAACATTGATTTTGTTCTTCGATATTTTTTATATAGACAATGGGATTGTAATGGCTCTCATATTCATGTCAGTGTTGACTGCTGTCATTGCCTTCTCGTTAATTGCATTCTTTTTAGCCAGGTGAGTTCAGTTAATTCTTTAAGTAGTTTAAAAATTTAATACATATTTACAGCTTTATATGTGTAGAAAGATGTTCTTAATAGTATTGGCTTTTTACTACCTTTTACAATGTATTAACACCGCAAAACAGATGCATTTAGAAGTATTTGGCTTGCTTTGAAAGGGAAAATGATCGAAATTTGTGTACATTTAAGCTGCAAATTAATCAGAGGAGAAAACGTTACCGTTAACCTCTTGAAAAGGTACTTCAAGATATAAGTTTTATCGTTATTCATCGTAGACTGACATCAGTTAGAGGAACGAAGAAAACCTGGTAGCACTGGGCAGCTGTTTCGTCTAGTATGTGACTCCTCAGCAGTGGGCACTTACGACCCCGATAGGGATCGAACCACGACCTTCTGGTTCCGTAGCCAGTACGTTACTATTGAGCCACTGGGTCAGAATTCAACGCTCCATATTTCCAACTTCTGTTAGCTCACGATATAGTGCAACGCCAACAGAAGTTGGAAATATGAGCGTTGAATTCTGACCAGTGGCTCAATAGTAACGTACTGGCTACGGAACCAGAAGGTCGTTGGTTCGATCCCTATCGGGGTCGTAAGTGCCCACTGCTGGGGAGTCCCATACTAGGACGAAACAGCTGTCCGGTGCTCCCAGGTTTCTTTCGTTCCTCTAACTGATGTCAGTCTACGATGAATAACAACTTGAAATATTTCCAAATCTCCATAACTCCCTAAAAATTCAATAAGTTCTGTCGTCTAAATGCCTATTGTTAAGTTGATCTTTCATACTAAGATGTAATTTGACTAAAATTTTAAAAACATCATGCCAGACATCTGAGTTGAACTGCTTTAAGTAATATAGTGTATTTATGAAATAATTCTTTAAGCATTTACTATTCAGTAGTGAATGCTGTATCTTACAAAGAATGGATATTTGAAAAACATCAAACATCAAATTAACATTTTGCTTTCATGGTTCTCTCTTCTATGTAAAGACGCGCACAAATGAGAAAGAATCTGCATTTTTATATAAAGACAAATTATGTTAAGAATAAATATTGCTGCCTTCTTTAACAGGATTCTCTTTTCGTGGTAAAAGCTATGATACCAGAAAAAGATGTTTTCCGGTTGGTTGTTTTCATAATTTAGGACAAATAATTGAGCAACATACTCAAAGGAGTTTGCAAACTAGTTTCCATACACCTATTCTTGCCCAGTTGTCGATATTTCTCTTGACGGTTGTTGGCATAGTCCACGAAATTGCTGAAAACTTAACATACATGTCAGCAATCCAAATACTTAAATAGTAAGCACTATGAACTTCCTAAGTAATGGTTACTGGAATTTTAGAGTCTAAGTGACAACCCTTCATCATTTACTCATTTTCGAATATTTGCGTTCATCATAGCTACATATACTAAACATATCGGCCAGGGGTCCTTGGTTTTTACTGGCTTTTACTAAGATTTTTTCTCAATCTTCTAATGAAAAATTCCAACTCATGAAGTCTTCAAGTGAGGAAGCAGATGTATCCTTACCAATTTAATAAGACAACGATCACATTAAGACGACCACGGTCCGGTGTATATTTCAATCAATTCCATATTAGTGATTGAGTCTACTATCGATTGGTGTTAGAAAACTGAACGTGTTCTACTCAAGATTCCGAAACCAGGAAAATAAAATTGTCCCACAATTAGTATTCTCTTCCGGAAACCCTATATATACACGACTCAAAAATCGCAAATTTTGGTCCTATTAAAGTCTTATTTTGTCATGTAACCACAATATATATAGAATTAGATATTTGAATTCACTTGATAGAACACTCCAAACCCAAGATCAATGTTTATCCATTTCAGTCAGCAAAGTATATGTGCACTTTCTTAGAAAGTCGTGTTTCCTCCTATATACTTAATTGGGTCACTCAATGCTGGGTCAGAAACCACACAGTTGGGTTAATCAATGTGTTTACAAGAAGTCATCACTCCTGCATTACCATAGAGTCTTCAAACAAATGATTTAGCGTATTCAGTGGATATATTCGACTTGGATGAGCAGTTCCGTAATCATTTAGATTCTACGTATCCTTCCTGCCTGTCTCTTAAAGTACCGGTCGATAGATTCATCCCATCAGTCTAGAGGAATCTGATGCTTAAGACGATCCATTTCTACTGAGTACGAAATTTTAACACGTTGAAACAAACTGTTCGTATGAAGTAATCTGAGCTTGTTGAATTTCATTTAAACTTGTAAAACTAATGAAAAGATTTTCTTACCGCAAAGAACGTATAAAAATAAAAATATGCACTGATAGTATTTCAGCTTATTCGATTCACTTAGCAGTCACAGTATGTTTCTATAATTTATGTGAATAGCTTTTAAGGTTACTTCATACATATTGCTGAATCACTGAGGAATATAATTCATGATTTGCATTCATCTTCATGACTAGTAGCAGAATCCAGAACATATGTTTCACCATATTTAAGACTCACCAGGTGGATGTACCTGAACTGATGTTGTTTCTACAGGGACCCGAACTCAGTTCCTATCTCACCAAACGCCAAAGCGTTATCCACTACACCACTGGGGTATGAAAGCTACTACTTGTACAACGGGTAATAGTTATTATTTGACTTTGTTATTTTGCGTTGCTAAACGGAGTCAAACGGCTCAACCTCTGTCTGCAGATAAGCTCTGCCCGAATGTCTCGCTGTTTCCGGATATTCATTATGTTCTATTCATCTTGGTAATAAGCAGCAAAATTCAATTTGAGACTCATCAACTGGATGTGTCTGCACCTTAGTGAGCGGTGTTGTTCCCACTGAGACGCCACGCAGAACAAGTTAACCGCATCCTAGAGTGTCCTAGTGAATAACGCTGGTGTTGAAGGGATGAGTATTGGATTCGGTCTTAGTGGAAACATCACTCACCAAAGTGCAGGTTTATCCGTCTGCCGAGTTTTAAATAAGACGAAGCGCCCGTCCTGGATTCCGCTGTTGGACACCAATATGAATGAATCATAAATTTCTGGAAGTATTGTGGATCCGCATAGGAGCCTATCCGTCAACAGACGTCGAGCAGTTCGACCCCGCATAGTAACGGGAAATTATGAGTACCAAATAATTCACGATTTCGTCGTTACTTACTAGGAAAGTGCATTTTTAGTTTTGAAGTGATTCACATTCTACACATTTCAACCTACACGACTCAGACAAACTATCAAAATGTAGAACTCGGTGTCTGAATTTGCTTGGCGACATAACAAATTTGTATGCGTAGTCCAGTACCACTTCTCTTTCTTTGTCCTAATAGCCCTCCCTAAACTGCTACTTCATCATTGAATGACATGTATTCTAGTATCCAGGTAGATAGAATTTTCCTGACGTTTCTGGACGTGTACTTATGGTAACTGTCACAAAACTGGAGACTTAGGTAAACAAGGGTCTTTTGATGACTTAACTGTGAATTCTAACGCTGAAACAAACGCAGTTTACTCAATACAAGTGAGAGTATTTAACTATTACCCATATATCCCAGTAATGTGCATATGCAACCCATTTTTTCTTTAAACTGAAAAGTAATACAATGAAGACTGTAAGTAAATGATCGTTTGAAATGATTGATAAAATAATTGCGTTTTCCCACAATATTTCCTTATCATACAGTTACACCCATGTACTCTTTCAAGGCTGCAAAAATAAAAACAAACAAATCATTCATATGATCATTGGAAATGTGACTTTATTGAAAATACAATTAGTTTTATTCTCTGTTGCCTTACTGTACTCCGTGACTTTTATTAAAGAAAATAACTAATAAAAATTCATGAAACAGTAAATAATTATGAGTTGTTAGGAAGATACTTCAACCTCAGGCTCCGTGTTGAATCTTTCGAAGCCAACTTGATGATAAAAACTTTTAAAAATACCTAGTTATTAAAGGTTGTCAGTATACTCCGCCCAGAGTTAAGAATATCCTTACACTCATAGAAATGTTAAAGAAAAGGAGTAGAAAAAGAAACTAATTTATCAGGTTATTCAACTTTAGACAGAGGGTACTGATAATCTCTTTGACTAGCATTTAACCAATAATTTTACTAAGTATTTAAATATCCAAGGTGTTTACTGATCAGATACCCAGTTATCTATGTCTTTCAACTAGATCTCTTTTCAGTATTTCAACCACATCTATTCTTAAAGTACACTTGGATACAGAATTCGATTTCGCTGACTCCATACAACTCTTCATTTCATGCTTACAATCTAAATATTGCTTAAAAAGTCTAGATTTCTTGCATAATGAACAAGATTTGTTACTGCAGTTACCACAAAGTAGCAAGCTTACGAAACTAGTCACTGTCATCATACGTTTATCAGAATATACCGGTGAAAACTCCCTGTACTCAGTAGACAAGTGTCCCATACTTCTTGGTCTAAGTGAATAGTTTGGCACTAAATTGACAGCCTCTTATTAGCTTCACAAAACCAACTCGTTACTATCAGAACTAAAGGCATTCTTAGACATATTTTGTGGGTAGGTAAAAATATATTTATGATTAGTTAGCAGAAAATGTTCTAGATTTCTATCCATTTTCTAATTTATAGATGTTATCGGCGACGAAAAATGTACCGTGAAGGACCTAATAAACTAATTATCTACCCAGATGATGTTGTATTTATGAAAACTCACAGAACAGTCAAACATGCAACACCTGTGAGTTATTTTGACCAGAATTTCAAAATATGAATGTTTCTTCATTGAATGTTAATAGGGTTTGTTTCACTGTTCAACAGACAGGTACAAAGATAGTGGAGATAGGAAATTATAATTCATATTATTTGACTTATGTAAATCATGTAACCAACTTATTTCTTTGACTGTTACCAACTGTGAATCATATAGGACAATGTCAGTTTGAACTATGTCAACATCAGTATATTCAACCGATAGTTTTCAATTTATACTGATGGTAACACATTTGTACTACAATAATCACGTTATAGGAATTGAATTTGAAGTAATTATGAGAATGAAGACCCTAGGTACTTTCGAAATAGAATTGTAGATTATATTTTGAAAATCATTCTGTGGAAACTACGTAAGTTCGTATTCATAAAAAGTTCGTCACGATCAGAGGAAGTCCTGTGCACATATACAGGAACAGTTAATTGTAAATTTACACTAGCTAATTTATAGTAAAGTCCTTTTTTTATTAACAATTCAGTTTGTAATATCAAGATAACATGGCAGATAATTATAAAAATTAGGCATACATGTAAACATTTCAAAGTGCGAAGGTGTAGAACCTATTTAGCATAGTTCTTAAGGTAGGATAAAGTCATAAACAACTATTTCTAACTATTTTGTGACACAAACTTTAGTATAACTTGAAAACCTTGAAGCAGGTAGGAACGAAACGTCATGTCAGACCCCCCGTGGTTATGATTCAAACAGTTTCTCAATATAGATGCAACATTGTGCAGTAGCAGTTGTCACAGACTATCAAAAAAACTGGAACGCTTAAGGGATCTGTTGGATTCCGAGTGAGTGGCTCAATAGCAAATGGCTGGTGGAGGAACCTGAAGGTACAGGGTTCGATCCCTAGAGGGATCATTGGGGTACACTACTAGAGAGCACGGTAGTAGAAAAGAACAACTGTTCAGTGCTCCCAGTTTTCCAATGTTCCTTCAAATGATGTCAGTCCATAATGAATACCAACCTGAAATTAAAAAATTGTTCTCGATCTAATGAAATGAAATATGCTGATTTTTGTTGTTGATGAGCAATGGTGTAATGAGTGACCTAAAAATACTTTTAAGTTTGGTGATCTGAGTGCACATCAGTGTCAGTTTAGCATTATACCCCATTTTTCGCCTTCAGCACACATCGATTGATAAACGAAAAGATTCAATATATTTTTATAGAATAGATATATACAATCGTGAATATCATCACGAAGAAATAATTCCTGAAGAACACATTTTCATTTAACTAACTGCGGTACACAGTGAGATTTGTTGCTTAACTATTCAGAGCATTAGACATTTTTACTGCCGAAAATTAAATGTTTTGATGTTGTTGTGTTCACTGAGCTGGATGACGTAGTCGTAGAGCTTTGATTGTCGTTCTAGACAGCATCATCAGCACAAATGTTAGAACGAAGTGAGCTATAAGGTTTTCTCCACAGTTTATTCAATGGCCTATACTGATGGAGTTGTGTGCGATTGGTTGTTCCTATCTAGGTCTTGTCGTTGTCATCTAACTATGAATAACTGTTTCATTTATAGAACCCAAATATACATTCTTCCAAAAGAACTCCTTGGAAAACTAAAACATCTAATCGAATCATGCAACCTCTCCATCAAATCTTCAATACAGTTTTTTGGAAAAGATCAAGTAAATTTAAATTGACAACGATGGAGTGATGGTGTCTATCAAGTTACGGCTCTATGCATCTCAACTGAACCGTAGCTGACCTAGCATGTTCTGATATTCTGATCTTAGGACAAACTCTTAGGAATAAGAGACTGAACTATGCAAAAACCAACCGATAGGGATCAAATCCTCAACTAAAATAGCAACAACCCAACAGTGCTCAATATCAGTCGCATAAAAACATTGCTCAAAAGAGTGTAGACACAGTGTAGCACATCAACTTAAGGCGAAAAGGAAGAAAAATATTTGATGACTGTTTCCAGAAAAACGGCTATCCATGCAACTCTATCAAAAGATGTTAACATGATTCGTCATTAACCAATAAGTCAATCTCGAAAACCAACAAACGGATTGCCCTACCCTATATGAAGAACACCTCCGAGATGATGACTAGATTGTTGAATCCTTTAGGAATCTGTATCCGACGAGCCTTATAGTTCACTTCATTCTGAAGATTGTTCTGATGAAACTGTCCAGAATAACAACGAAAGCTTCATGCTTAAATCAATCCATAAGCTCAGAGAAGACACTGTAAAAATTATTCTCTCGACCTAAAAATATTCTACATCATTTCAGTTTAATTTTCAATTGATTACAACTCAGCCTACTTAGACTAAGTGGTGGTGTCACATTCGCTCATCCGCTGTGACTTTTCCAAAATCTTCTTCATTCTGAATAGTCAAGCATCTCTGCGTGTTGTTCCCATTACTTCTTGAAGATGTTCAGGGATATTATGTTGTTCGTCAACAGATGGAGAAATTGAATATTTGTCAGTCGCAAACATTTAGTGCCTAAACTGCTTACATTTCGTGGTGTTTAATAATTGCTTTCATTTTATGAGAATAACTTAAAGTTGTATGTACTTTTTTCTTTTTCCTCTTGAAAGCGTCGACTTCACAAATAAGAATTGATAGTAATGTTGTTACTTGTATTATCCCGTCGTTGTTTGGACCAAATTGATGGCTCTGTGTTAGTATATGGGTTCCTGTGAAGATGCCTCGCTACTGCTTGTGTTTTAATTATGTATTTGTGATGGCTATTGGCTAGTAATGGATCCAGGAAGCTCATTTCATCGGCATAATACAAACAATAACATTAAAACTACGATAAGAAGTGACCATCGTGACCCAGTGGTCTGGCGGATAACGCTCTGGTGTTTTAAGCGATTGGTATCAAGTTTTAGTCCCAGTGTGGGATAAAGTAACTCACTGGGGGCAGGTACATCCGGCTGACGGGTCACAAATAGGAAGAAACGCGCATCTTGGATTTCACCGCTAGACACTGTCCATCATAAATAAAAAACTAATATTTCTGAAATATTTATTAAAATAAATAACCTACTGTTGCTTTTTCCTCTTTTGTAAATCAACTAGAAGAAACCTAATTGTTACATAAGTCCATCCAGCTAGCGCTGTCTTAGGATATCTATCAAACTGTGATTTTCCAGGCTGCATTATATCTTGAAAGGATGCAAAATGTTTGTAGCCTAAGTGAATGATCTGAGTGCCTTGTTTCCTCTAAGTTTGGTGGTTTAATCGTAAAGCTTCTAGACAACATCATCACCACTAACTTTGATGCCTTCTATTTCATAGAACGTGATACAACTAAACTATAATGGATTCAGTAAATTCTACAGCCCATTTTTCCACTAATTGATATCTTCGACTATAATCCATGAAATATTTCATAAAACGTTTGATAGAATATTGAGATATTATTCAAGATTCGAAGAAAATATTGGAAATCAGCCGACATTTTAAAGTTAAATTAAAAAGAAATACCAAGTTTATACAAACGTGTCTGGCAAAAGTAAATGACTGAAGGGTGCTTGTAAGTTTCAGGTGAAGACCTATTAGAGAGGAACCATAACGAATTCCAAACCAACTGACAGTCTGAATGCTATTCAAACCAACTTTAATATTTCTCTATAAAAAGCAGACATTTCTGTAATCTGATCATTTGTTCGATGCTATTATGTTGTTACCTTCAACTGCATGCTTGAACTATTCAACGTGAGCTAATTTAAACTAGTAGACGTATGAAATACCACTCTGCGTTTAGCGAAACTAATCTCTTACCAACTGTTAATCCCATAATAAAGGTGTTTTTACACGATAGAAATATAATAGGTATTCAAATCTTTATATAGAGGAAGAATGTACTTGCAATTGACTGTGAATTTAATAACTTACTAACACTGACAGTATTCTAACAGTTACGCATTTTTTCACATTCATTTTTTTTTGTTTTAAACAGAGCAATGTTGACTTACGGTTTCCAACGCTGACTAGTGAGACGAAAATCAACGGCTCTACTGCTAGTCATCCGAATCATGGGAAGGTAGATAATCAAACAAAATCTTTAGTATCTGTTATGAGTGGAGATGGAATTGAAGATACAAACGTTGCACGCTACAATGTAAGCGGACATTTTATATATATACATATGTCTCTGAATGAATTGTCATAATCAGAATGTTATTATTCATTGGAAAAACCATTTAGGATTTACAGGTATTGCCATCAGTACTGTTTCAAATGGTTAAAAAGTGTTTTTCTCCAGCATATTTTTGCAAAATATAAAGTAGACACTCATTTCCTAGTAAATATTATTGTACTAAGTTATCTTTCAGATGCTTATGAGACAGATAGCAGGATTTTTCACAGTCAGTTTACTGATCGGTACGACTGACAGTCTTAGTATGTCTAATGCAATGGTCTGATTGAAGGTAATTTCTGTTAGTTTTTTCAGTATTTATCAGTAACGACAAATAGCAATAATTCAAACCTCCTACCTCTGTTACTTACTGTATAAAAATTCGTAAATAATTGCTTTTGTTAGATGAAATGCTACACAATATACAAACATAATACGGTTCATATGCAAATCATTTAGGCGTATCTTATGAAAAAGCACTAAATACTTGACTTATTACCAGAATACATTTTGATAACTAATCGCATCACTGAATGGGAATATGGAGAAGTCCGTTAAACATAATAGCTAAAGCGATGTAGATTTTCTAGGTTGATGTGTGTTCTCTGATCTGAGCGGTTTAATCGTGAAGCTTTATTGCAGACCGAATGACACAATACCCAAAGAAGACATACCACATATCATTTACGAAATCAGCTACAGTAATTATGATTAACACTACATTGGACAAAGTGGTAGCCCTCTTCACTTTCATCTACACGAACACCAATTGGCTATTAAACGTCGCGACATTTCATTGCTCATTTCAATCCACGTGGATGACTTTATATCTGAATTCAATTTTGATAATGTAGAAACCTTGGACAGAGCAAGAATATCAGAGAAATCCTAGAAGCAATTAATAGATGTATAGACATAGACCAAGTCTATCAACCAATAAGATAAGCGATAAATGACATAAAGGCCAGAGGTTAGGTGGAGAAACAGCCAACAAAAATATTTGTGCAGTAAATGACATAAAAAATCAAAGGAAACAACCAATCATGAACCAGTTAGACACGGCAAGCTACCGAATCACTCATGAAGTGATACTGACACCCCACTTCATATTGGAGTTAGTGTTGATGATTTTGCCCAGAAAGATAGTGAAAGCTTCACGATTAAACCACCCAGTTCAAAAACACAACACAACCAAGATCATCCGAACGGGGTACAAATATTATTCACCTTTACAAAATCGTGCGATGCAGATTACTACAACCCAAATTCTATAGGATCATAAAACGATCAATCTGAAATCTAAGTTAAAGTATTTTCATTTAATTATGAAACACAAATATGACTTGATAACCTGCATTCAGATACAGGCTGAATGCACTATATAGCGTCCGTAAGATTTTGAATGCGGTGATGATAAAAACAAGCCAACAACCAGTAAACTTATGATTAAATGATTTTTTAAAAATTATGAGTTAACTAGGTGGCGGTTTTGAGTTGAAGGTTGCTTAAAATTTCCTGCCGCTTAAAAAATATTACCATGTATAAGCCCACCCATTAAGGTATAGGCTTGAACCAGTATATAACTATGAAAAAGAGAGAAGTGTATTAGACAGGTGGGCCTATTATCTACGTTTACATCAAAGAGGTTTAATCATAAAATAGCTGATGATAAAAAGGTAGCTGAACTTAGGTTACATCATAACTAGTTAAGTCAACAACTCTCACATATGATATCGTCAATCGAGTTTACAAATCGCCACGTGTAATTCTAAGAATCTATTTCATATCATTTACACTAACTAATCTTTATTTTCCGTAAATATAGACTAGTGGAATATCGGAGTGACTTCAGGTTTCAGAATGCTCTATGTGAAAGGAGGATTATGCTAGTGTGCTCAAATTATTTAGATGTGAATAGTTTGCTTTAAGGCTAACTAAACAGTTTAAAAACAGACTTCAACAATAACAATAGAAATAAGTCATTATTGACTTGTTTGCGGCAACAAGTGGAATTCAGGGCTGTTTGAAACTCATCAGACGGACGTACCTGCAACCCAGTGAGTAAAGCAGAATATGGGACTGATATCAAGTGTTACTTGGACAGAAATCGAAACCAGATACATGAGTAATTATTCACTTGACTCCTGAGCCAAGACAGCCACTTCTTGTGTAATGCTAGCTGGAATGAACGTAAGCACACTTGACGAGTGTGTGATGGATCGCCGTTAGTCACATACAGAGCAAGCACTCATATCAGTATTCAGATGATATTTCTATAAAGGTTAACTTCTGTGGTTCAGCCAATAAAAGCAAGCAGAGGATCATGGATTGCTCCAATAAGAACTAAGTGGCTATTAATTAGAGACAGTGTATTCCAAAAGGTCTGCAACCACTCACAATATCAGTTTTATGCTTCATTAAACTATTGTGTGTTGTCCCTTGTTAAATAGAGTTTAGTAGCAAAGGGAGTATAACAAATAGGTAACCAACTAGAGTATTTAAGGAAAACATATCCATCTTAATCTACCGTGAACACAACTGCCTATTGTATGACATAAATAAATGTTCATTAGGGGATCACGTAGCAGGAGTTAACATGCCAGCTTCTAGTTTCGATAAATTTGGCTTTAGTTTACGCTAGTTTATGAAGACAAAGTTAAATCATATTAAAAAAACATAAAGAAAGTAGGATAAGCGAGAACCATTCACTGTTTAACACACTTCAATTAATGCTTTAAAGAGATTAATTTACATCTAGGTGAATTGTCTAAGTTAGCAGTTATCTTACTACAACTATTTGGTAGCTGCTCTGCTAAATAACTCCAAGAGTAAACATAGTAATAGATCAATATAAGTGAAAAACTTGGGCACTGTGGTAGAATGTAGTTCCATATTAGATTTGTTTATTTGATATAAAGGAGAATTACCTATGTTGGATTGCAGAATAAAACGAAGGATAGATGGTGGTTTAGATACTACCGTCTACAGAAAACCAACACATTCTAACAGATATCTAGACTTCAAGTCATCTCATCCAGTGTCAGTTAAAGCGGGTTTAGTCAAATGTCTAAATAACAGAGCTGAGAAACTCACTAGTCATTGTAAGGACTTAAATAAGGAATTGAAACACATAAAAGAAGCGTTAATAATTAATAATTATCCCCATCATTTTATTAAGAAATTCACACGGACGCATAAGAAGCAAAATAATAACACTAATACAAATACAAATAATAGTGACAACATAAGTAGAAAGGAAATCAACACCTCTATTGTGATACCATACAAGGAAGGAACATCAGAAACCATACGTAGGATTCTCAACAAGGTTGGAATTAGGGTGGCATTTAAACCAACAAACTCACTTAGAGGTAAGCTTTGTCGCCTAAAAGATCCGATAGAACCAATTAAGCAAAATAATATAATCTACCAAATTCCATGTAATGACTGTGAAGTCAAATACATAGGTCAAACTAGCCGGTCGGGGTCAGTTAGATTAACAGAACATAGGAATTTAGCTAAACATAGAACGGCAGACCCCAATAAGATCAATAACCTAAAAAAACACTCGGCCATTGCATTACATTCATTAACACACAACCACACAATAGGGGGGACAAAACCACTGTACTTAAGTCCAATATAGCTAGGTGGAGAGAGAGATTAATTACTGAATCTTTGTTCATCGAATCCACACCCAACACATGTAATAGGAATGACGCAACACCTATACCAGAGATATGGAAAACTTTACTACCAATCAAAAAAACAAAGAGAGATCAGGTGACAGGACTATAAAATCAGATGTCGAAAGAAGTGTGATTACATTGATATGATTATGAGCAATAATTTATGCTCGAAACGTAATCAAGTAAATAATACTGTATCACTGTGCGCTTTATATCAAATAAACAAATCTAATATAGTTCATATCAGCTTTCCTCAACTACTTAAGCCTAGTATTTACTACCTGACCTTGATCATCAGGTGTTCGGTTATAAGGTTTTTATTTATCAACATGACAAATATTGCTGCTGTATCAATAGCAGAATTAAGGTTTATTATTGTGTTGGACAGAAATTATGATAAAACCTGGGGCCTGACTCATATCATCGTCTATAGACAAACACACTACGGAAATAGGTCACAAGATTGATCCCGAAAAACCACCCTGACCTTCAAGACCATATATTTTGGTTCACTAAAGCCTTAGCTATACAAAAGTTCAAACCCTCTCAAGGGCAACTTGTCCTTAGTTCAAACCTACCACAGCAATCTTTAATTCATTTTGTTGCCAAGGGAGGTGTGAAATTTTATTATTCCTCTTTATTATCCTTATACTCTCCAAATTTTGTATAGTCCTAATTTATTTACCCCACCTCCTCTCATTTTCGCCGTTCATATGATATGCTTAGAAAAGTGGATGTGTGACAGGATGTTCGAAATAATTTACACGAAAACATCTCATTCCTCAGATAGCCTTCGTCATCTTACACTATGTAGATTTATCAAAGTGACTAATTGTTTGTAATTCTGGATTTGGTCACGCTTCTGTGCCCTATTATTCTAATTGACGCCGTTCATTTAAATTGAGCTATATAGATTTCGATAAACAAAATTGTTTTAGTACATTTATTCCTGCTTCTAACATATGGTAGAGATATATATACATATATATATATATATATATATATATATATATATATATATATATGCAACCACTCACAATATCAGTTTTATGCTTCATTAAACTATTGTGTGTTGTCCCTTGTTAAATAGAGTTTAGTAGCAAAGGGAGTATAACAAATAGGTAACCAACTAGAGTATTTAAGGAAAACATATCCATCTTAATCTACCGTGAACACAACTGCCTATTGTATGACATAAATAAATGTTCATTAGGGGATCACGTAGCAGGAGTTAACATGCCAGCTTCTAGTTTCGATAAATTTGGCTTTAGTTTACGCTAGTTTATGAAGACAAAGTTAAATCATATTAAAAAAACATAAAGAAAGTAGGATAAGCGAGAACCATTCACTGTTTAACACACTTCAATTAATGCTTTAAAGAGATTAATTTACATCTAGGTGAATTGTCTAAGTTAGCAGTTATCTTACTACAACTATTTGGTAGCTGCTCTGCTAAATAACTCCAAGAGTAAACATAGTAATAGATCAATATAAGTGAAAAACTTGGGCACTGTGGTAGAATGTAGTTCCATATTAGATTTGTTTATTTGATATAAAGGAGAATTACCTATGTTGGATTGCAGAATAAAACGAAGGATAGATGGTGGTTTAGATACTACCGTCTACAGAAAACCAACACATTCTAACAGATATCTAGACTTCAAGTCATCTCATCCAGTGTCAGTTAAAGCGGGTTTAGTCAAATGTCTAAATAACAGAGCTGAGAAACTCACTAGTCATTGTAAGGACTTAAATAAGGAATTGAAACACATAAAAGAAGCGTTAATAATTAATAATTATCCCCATCATTTTATTAAGAAATTCACACGGACGCATAAGAAGCAAAATAATAACACTAATACAAATACAAATAATTGTGACAACATAAGTAGAAAGGAAATCAACACCTCTATTGTGATACCATACAAGGAAGGAACATCAGAAACCATACGTAGGATTCTCAACAAGGTTGGAATTGGGGTGGCATTTAAACCAACAAACTCACTTAGAGGTAAGCTTTGTCGCCTAAAAGATCCGATAGAACCAATTAAGCAAAATAATATAATCTACCAAATTCCATGTAATGACTGTGAAGTCAAATACATAGGTCAAACTAGCCGGTCGGGGTCAGTTAGATTAACAGAACATAGGAATTTAGCTAAACATAGAACGGCAGACCCCAATAAGATCAATAACCTAAAAAACACTCGGCCATTGCATTACATTCATTAACACACAACCACACAATAGGGGGGACAAAACCACTGTACTTAAGTCCAATATAGCTAGGTGGAGAGAGAGATTAATTACTGAATCTTTGTTCATCGAATCCACACCCAACACATGTAATAGGAATGACGCAACACCTATACCAGAGATATGGAAAACTTTACTACCAATCAAAAAAACAAAGAGAGATCAGGTGACAGGACTATAAAATCAGATGTCGAAAGAAGTGTGATTACATTGATATGATTATGAGCAATAATTTATGCTCGAAACGTAATCAAGTAAATAATACTGTATCACTGTGTCCTTTATATCAAATAAACAAATCTAATATAGTTCATATCAGCTTTCCTCAACTACTTAAGCCTAGTATTTACTACCTGACCTTGATCATCAGGTGTTCGGTTATAAGGTTTTTATTTATCAACATGACAAATATTGCTGCTGTATCAATAGCAGAATTAAGGTTTATTATTGTGTTGGACAGAAATTATGATAAAACCTGGGGCCTGACTCATATCATCGTCTATAGACAAACACACTACGGAAATAGGTCACAAGATTGATCCCGAAAAACCACCCTGACCTTCAAGACCATATATTTTGGTTCACTAAAGCCTTAGCTATACAAAAGTTCAAACCCTCTCAAGGGCAACTTGTCCTTAGTTCAAACCTACCACAGCAATCTTTAATTCATTTTGTTGCCAAGGGAGGTGTGAAATTTTATTATTCCTCTTTATTATCCTTATACTCTCCAAATTTTGTATAGTCCTAATTTATTTACCCCACCTCCTCTCATTTTCGCCGTTCATATGATATGCTTAGAAAAGTGGATGTGTGACAGGATGTTCGAAATAATTTACACGAAAACATCTCATTCCTCAGATAGCCTTCGTCATCTTACACTATGTAGATTTATCAAAGTGACTAATTGTTTGTAATTCTGGATTTGGTCACGCTTCTGTGCCCTATTATTCTAATTGACGCCGTTCATTTAAATTGAGCTATATAGATTTCGATAAACAAAATTGTTTTAGTACATTTATTCCTGCTTCTAACATATGGTAGAGATATATATACCATACACTTAAGGGGTTAAAGTAATAGCACGCTGATTAATTTTTGACATATAAACTCAGTTGGAGATAAAACCCAGTTTAGCAATGAGTCAGATAATGATAAAGAACTGACTATACTGGATTGTATAATAAAAGTGAGGGAATATGGACACTCTTGTCTACAGAGAACCTTGATGTTTGAGTCTCCTTCCATTTGTGTGTATGTTTTCCCTTGAAACTTGAAACTGTACAAGTCGGGCATAATTGTACTCAAATTATGATTTATTTAATTTATACCCTGTTGCTGAGTGTGAGTTACTGATCATAGCTGAACTCATTCTTAACTGCCTCGAGAGCCATGTTAATTGACCTGTGAGATGTAGTCTTCAGAGTATGAGGACTATTTTCTTCACTGATAATCTCAGCTGAATAGATTTAAATAAATAACTTTATTTGGCTCAATGGTAACGTGCTGGCCACGGAACCTGAAGGTCATGGGTTTGACTCCTGGAGCAGTGGGGTCGTGGGTGCGCACTGCTGAGGAGTCCCATACTAGGACGAAGCAGCTGTTCAGTGCTCCGAGGTTGCCTTTGTTCCTCCAACTTATGTCAGTCTACGATGAATAACAACTTGAAATATGCCATTCAGTTGAACTAGAGCATAACAGAGGGGAATCTTAGTTGATTACGAGCAGTCAGCCAAGAACCCGGCTTAACTTTGGCTTCGTGCTGGTTGTCGTTCGTCAGCAAGGCAACAACAATATTGAGTTCTCTCTTTACCGACTTGCACGAAAGACAAGTAGTATATTGCCTTCTCTTTTCACACTAGCAGTTGATCCTAATGCTTTACAAAGGTTAACTACTCATACGTCACAGCCTTATTACATAATAGCATTCAATAAGTATTTACGAAACTTAAAGAAAATTCTATGATAGGTCAATTTGTTACAATTCCATTGTTAAGTCTAATATAGCTAGGTGGAGAGAGAGATTAATTACTGAATCTTTGTTCATCGAATCCACACCCAACACATGTAATAGGAATGACGCAACACCTATACCAGAGATATGGAAAACTTTACTACCAATCAAAAAAACAAAGAGAGATCAGGTGACAGGACTATAAAATCAGATGTCGAAAGAAGTGTGATTACATTGATATGATTATGAGCAATAATTTATGCTCGAAACGTAATCAATTAAATAATACTGTATCACTGTGCGCTTTATAGTAATAGATCAACATTCATCCTTATTTTGAGAAGAATTTGATTTTCTGTGTGTGGAAAGATTTAATTTGATTGGTTAGCTATATTTTAGCCACACTTTGAAATACCTGACCAATTGTCTGGTAACAAAACAAGCAAAAAGGGCAAGAATCTCTGAGTGCCACTGTGTAACCGTGGTGGGGAAGAGGGTTGGTACTAGCAAAGCGATAAATATGAAATACGATCAACCTTAGCAGAGTAACTCAGGCATTGCAATTGCCGCCGTCCGGGCTGAGCTGGTTACACTAGATACCTCAAACTTTGGAGCCTTCTCTGTTAGCGTGAGTGCATGGCCTTTTTTAAACACTGTTTTCATACATATGCACCGAATTGAAAGTTGGCCGTATGGTCAATGATATTCGGTCGACACAGAAAACCAAGAAAGGCCTAGACAACAAAAATAGCCGCGCTCTGAAATACTCATAAAAAGTAAGCGCTTTCGTTAAAGAATTTTTCAGCATTTTAACCGTCTACATTTTTCTTCTTATTTTCAGAATGGTTTGATTTATATCAAGCGACTGGAATTAAATAATGCAGCACTTAAAAGCAAATTCTTAGATCATATTCGCTTGTTAAAAGAAATACGTAATGAGAATGTTAATCAGCTCATTGGCTGTTATGTTGACCTCACTGCTTTATGCTTGGCATTCGACCATTGTACAAGAGGAAGTTTAAAAGTAAGTGACTTTTTGTAAATTAGATAGCTAATGGATCTGGAACACGCCTTTCATATTTTTTTGTAATTTTCTGCTCACTTACAGTTACTTACTTACGGAACCCTACTAACTAGCTTTTCAGTGCATATTTTTCTTCGTAAAATAGTTGTTTTTTAAGAACGGAAGAACTCAAATGCCACTGCTCTCTCAAAATATGGCTACTAAGTTTCAGCATTTCGAAGACTCATTGTAAACTGGCTTACATCCAAAGTATTTAAGTTAACTAGTTGAAGAGATCCCTAACTTGACTATCGTTTTCATAGTCCCTTCTTTATCTGACATCAATTACAAGACTCCATATTATCATTTCATAGTGTTTTCATTGTTCACAAAATAGACACAAAGTAGGATAACACAAATGCCAATACATTAAACTAAATTATCTCAGTTAAAAGTGAGAAATAATAAAAGTCAAACCTGTGTTTACCGAATCATTGCGTAGTGCATGTAATAAGAATGATTCAGCACATATTTAAATCAGACGGGAAATTTTTGCTACTTTTTAGGAAACAAGAAAACATCAGGAATCCTTTTTAGTGACTATACTGTCAACCACCAATTATACTTGTATTTGGTTATACTACTTACGTTTTTCAAGTTTTTCCTTGTTTATAGATCAGTCTAAAGTCGACCGCCTATAATGACGGTCTTTATTCAGGTACATAGGTATGAAAACAGTTCACAAGACAGGTCATGCACTCCTAATGACGGACAACGCCTCAAAGTGCTTGGCATCTACCCTCACCTCCATAACAGGGATAGCATCAAGTGTGCGATGTGGGTTACTCCACTAAGGCCAGCCGTATCTCGCACTCGTTGCTCTAAAAATGTCAATTCCCACTCCTTCATCATTTTTAAGCTGTGGCACCCAAACATTTTAGCCCTTACTATATGCTTGGTTACCAGACAGTTGATGAGTATCAGGTGAAAATCGTTGACTACTTCCGAAGACCCATTCTGTTGCCAGGAGGGATGATACAAGCTTCTTTGCTTTTGGCGTTGGATACTGACTGCTGGCATAACACTCAGGGTTGACCACATTATTAAACTGCCAGTTGATCGACAAACTCAACATGGTACCTATCACACAGGTCCATCAGTTCAGTTTGCTACAATTCACAGCAATATAAAAAGAACAAGTGGGTAGAAAAAGACCATTATCAAAAAAAGATAAAGTGGTGTGAGAGAACAAGTAACCTAAAGATGAAGGTTAGGGAGAATATTTAAGCTGTAGACGATTTCAAGGAGTTAATACAACTGCGCCATCATGACAGATTTTCAGCCACGTCATCAAAAGTCTTCAACCACTGACTACTTTCGTCTCAAGGAATACAACCAGGCAGTCTACATCTCCCCCACATGGCTCAAACAGGCAGTATGACGCCTCATTGACTGATACGACGTCTTGTTCTGTCCAACGTGACCTAATCTAACGTCTCCTAGAATGGCACCTAGAGAAAGGCGTTAGATCGGCTAAGGTTCACAGCCTCATCAACCGACTTCCTTGTCTAGCACAGCACCTTTCATCTGACTTCAACATTTTTCATATGGTGATTTCACCAAACGCGAGAAATGCTATGAAGACATCTATGGTCAAAACCTTGTGATCCCTTCATGTCTTCTACCTTCAACGGCCATGTCTCACAGTTTTACAACAGGACACAGTGAACTCCAGAGCAGTATACTCGTCCTTTGATAGATAGTTTGATATCCGCCGGTACCTCAGATGACATTAGTTGGTAAATACCATAATGGGCATTTTGTATCCGAGCTGAGAATTTGCCAGCAACCGTTCTGCTTGAGCTAAAGCAACTCCTCAAGTCAGCAAAGTGGTTGGCACATTCCATCACTTCTTACTCCATCCTTAAAATAGGAGTAGCTTCTGATCAATTCTGAAGCATCATGTTGCGATTGACAGGAGCGAAACTCCATTCGAACATACTCAGACTTCTGCTCTACGCGTTCACACGGCCCTGCCTTTTGTCAGAATCTTCACCCAGCAGGAAAATATCGTCCATATACTCCATGTCAACCAGATAACCTTCAGGTAGTTGGACAATTTCTGTGAAATAAGACGTACCTAAGGTTGTTTCCACCAGTAATTCAATGATAAAGTAAACCTGCAACCTATACAAGAGCTATAGGCAAGCACGCTGGCCAACTCGCTCCAAATATCACTTCCCTCGAGGGAGACAGCAGCTCTATAGCCTACAGCTTCATCCTTACTTTCATGCATAGTACGGCGCACATTAGCCAGTCGTCCATGGCATTACAAACACCATTCCACTGTAAGGAGCGCTGTGAGCTCAAAAGTTAGTTACCCCGAAAGGTCTATGTACTTCTGGCCATCTCCACCGCTACCCCCACCAAAGTGGGTTCCTCAACTTCAAAACCTCGGCGCAACTACACCCCTCAATCTCTTAAAATCAAAAGTCGTCATGCAATATCAAGCTGGCCAGACATACAGGTATTCCATTCGGTAAATATTGCTTAAATGTGTACCGTCGATCAGACATTCGGAAAGTGACTCGAAATACCATCGCCACTGGAATTTCATCGCAAACCAGATGTCGAACTAAAGACGGCTAAATGTGCACCATCGAACGAACGTTTGTCAAGAAGCTCAAAATACCCGCTCTGCTTATTTTAAGACGGGCGAGTTATAGTTACACTCATGTTCATATTCCTATATGTAAAAAGAAGGAATAAACTTACAAAATCCTGTGAAGTAGTTATGTAGATACTTTGACATGCTTCTGAGCAATAAATTTTGACCGCCACCTCTGTTTAAATCCCTAAATAATACAGTAGCGTCGTTAGGGATACGTTCAAAATGAAACTAAGAAGTGCTCATTTGAATAATGTTTATGTCCCTTGTATATCTAATCTGCTTAAAAATGGAAGCACTTTAGGACAAGTAGTTTCAGCTTGTCAGATTATGATTTATCTTGAAAAGCATAAGAAGTTTATAACCCTTCTCAGGTTTCATGGTCAGTGTTGACATCTTTTACAGCTCATTGGTTTCTTAAGTTTACAACTGTGGTGCCAACATAGATTCTATTGAAAATAAGCCGGCCGATTTCCCAAAATCTGGTCCCTGACGCAGAAGTATGATGAACTAACAAAATATACAATTTAACAACATGAGTAGTAGGAAACCCCATTAGCTTACTTCTAGATTCTGATAGGTAGATCATCGGTGCACTAAGACGGTTTCATCTCACAGAGACGTATCGTTAAGATTTACTGCAAAATCTCCATTTGAAGTTTACATCTAAGCATCAGCATGAGTGATTTGCAACTACTTGTATTTTTCAGTAGCATATTTTAAATAACTAATTTTGCTTCAGAATACTCCAGTAAGCTAATTGAATTATCTAGACGTTAAGTATAAAGCTTTAAGCCACCAAAAAATGTACACGGTGAAAGCGTTAACCTTTTGACTACTGAGTCATTTTTCAGTGGTTCACAGTTTCTAACTTCTGACAATTCACGAGATAGAGTGACTATCACCCAAAGTCTTCAGTTGGCATCCGTTCCCCTCATAACTGGTTGACCCCACCTGTTACAGCATTTTATCAAAACCTCAAGATATCTGTCTGGAAGCATGTCACTAATAAGCAGTAGACGGTAATATATTCTAAGATTGATGGGGATTCGTTTCCAAGGTCTCATTCATCACGGACTGACCTCAATTAGAGAACCACTGAAAACCTGGTAGCACTAGACAGATGATTGTTCTAGTTTGGGACTCCTCAGCAGTGCACATCAGTGAAATGCTTTTAGGATGGATGTATCGAAATTGAAATGGAAATCCGTAAGGTCAACCAGTCAAAAGGGAAGTGGACGCCAACTGAAGATCTAAGTTACAGTTGCGCTTAATCCCAAACTGACTGGAGTAGGAAACTGTGAACTATTAAACTCCGACCCGATGACCAATTGGCTTATTTATTCGCTGTAAAACCTGAAGGTATTGAGTTTGAACCTTAGACAGGCTGTGGGTGCGCAATGCTGTGATACCATAGGATGAAACAAACGTACAGTTAAAAAACCGACAAACACAAAAGAACAGATACACAACCGTTCGATTAACTAGCATGATAACCTTTTTTGAGATACTCAGGCAAAAACTTGGCATTATTTCAGTAGTTTATGGGATAACCTTGTTCAGCTTAGTTGTAACCCATGAAATTTATGTTTTTCGTATGACATCTTACAATTCCAGTATGTGCGGGAGGTAGTTATATTTATCTGGCAAAATATCTCTCTAGGTATTAAGAATATTCTTGTTGGAGTTGTCTTGAATATTGCCGATTTTCATAAGTGTAATGAATCTGTTCATCTTCTTCATTGCAAAAAAAATGAGTATATGTATATATATTCTGGTGACAATCTGTACTAAACTGATTATTATCAGACGTGGGGAGTTCTTTGTCGCTAATACATTTTTAATGCACATCGACAAAGGTATTTGTTGGGAATAAAACTGGCCCACAAATGAATGGATTTTAAGTATGAATATATATATATATATATATATATATATATATATATATATATATATATGTAAATAGACAGAAAAAAAATACCGGAGTGGAACGAGACCATTGTTTGGCTAGTCACTTCTATCTCCCCAACAAATATTCCTGTCATGATTATATTCACATCACTACAAGCTGCCATGTGTAAATCAGTCACTGGATGGTATGAGATACAAATCTTTATTTTTGAGAGCTTACAGAAATGTAATAATCAAGCGTTCATTATGATTACTGAAACGACTAGTACAACACTCTAACCCGCTGAGCTCAGTGTAGCATAGCAGGGAGTATTCTGCCTTTCGATTTAAAGTTAGGTCTTATTCCTGTTGACACTTAGCATTAGGACGCATCTGTCGCCTAAGAAGAATCACGGTCTTGTTAGGGATTCATAGTCAGGAACTTTGCCAGTTAGGTAATCAA